ATTGCTAACACATCCGAAAATAGATCAGTCTGAGACATACTGAGATTTTTTTATGCAGATTTTTTATGGAGACATATTGGTACTTGGTAGCAGTCTGCTGTATTTTTTTATGGAGATTTAGTCTGCTGTGTTTTTTTTATTATAGTCAGTGGATATATATCTCCAAAATGTTAAGGTGGCAACTACATAAAATTATCCTACTAGATGCATTCTTTAGTAAAACGGGCCCAAATAAATCTTACATGCCCAATTTTGTTTGGCCTTTGGCCTTCTTAGTACCTAATCAATATCAATGCTATAATAAGAAACAGCATTTACCTTTCGGTTAAAGTGGAATACATTGGAGACCCCTTAATGTGCTCTTCTTTAACTCTAAAAGCTTCACATGCCTGCCTGCCTCACTACTCCCATTGCCAATTTACACTACAGAAAGGGAACAAAAGTAAAGAAAATAATTGAATCTTCCAGCCATTTGATGTAAGAACTACAGTTATTTGATTCATCTTTGTGCCTTTATTGACTGATTGTTGTGGCATGTTTAAAATTTCAAAGGATTCTTTTGTTTGAACCAAAGAGGCAATGTCACTCGATCATTATCAAATTGACTACAATCTTTTTTTTCTATGTGAGAATCCCACTAGAACGTTTTCTACTTCTAATAGGTCATGAACGTTTTCTACTTTTGAACGCCCATCTAGCATAGCAACTCAAAAGATGAATAAGTATAGTCAATTTTTTCATGCTCATTCCAAATTCAAAGTACCATTTGTATAATAAATAAGAATCCCTCCAAATTCAACTACATAAACCATATCAAAGTTTGTTGATTAATATATTTGGTAATAATTATGTGCCTTGAGTACTCACATAATTATTATCTATTCCTTCAACATTTTCCTTGCTTTAACTTAGTTATAAGCTTTGTTAACTTGGTTATAAGCTTTTATAAGTTTTCTTAATGCGGTTTGTTATCAAAGGTCTATCAAAGTTGCCGATAGCTTCATCGATATTTCTTAAGGGATATATCTCACTCTACAACCTCTTACCATGTATTGGGTCTAATTTACCCTTAGGTCTAATTTTCCTTTTTTAATTGTTCGGATTAAATTGTACGAATCAACTGAGTTGTGGTTTAAATTAAAATTGTTTTTATCATGATTTTTTTATCAAGTGAATCAACCATTAGAATAAGTTAAATATTCTTATCTATTTCATCATAGCTTGAAATCTTTAATTGAAGTTGCCGAATAGCTTCAGTTAAAGATTCTTATTTATTTCATCATAAGTCTTCTTAGAAAATAATCAATACAAAGAATATTTAAAATTGACGACAACTTTAGCTTCACTCTCTCTCTCTCTCTCTCTTTCACAGCAGTAGCACACACACACAAAACACACACATATTTGCACACAAACACACACATTTAAATTGGGTGTCTTTTAATTGGGTGTTTAATTGAATGTCTTTTTTTTTTTAGTTACGAATGTTAGGTTTATAGTTATTCAATGAAATAGGTTTTTTTATTATGAATGTTAGGATGGAATGAATGTTAAGTTGGTTATTATTGACTGTTCATTTTGTGAAATTCGTAGGCTAATTTAGGTTGTCTTTTTCCTTAATTTTGGTTCTGGGAATTGGATGTGTATGTACTTTTGTGTATGTATTATGTTTGATTAAATGCATGTTAATTGTATGAAATATCATTTTAATTGATGTTAATTTAATAGTTGAAATTAAATTGTAATTGATGTTAATTATACATAGCTTATGAAAATTATTGTGTAGCTACAACCGTTTCAACTGCACAATCATCGATCAATAGATGATGTCGTTATATTTGATAGTGTAAGTTTATTATCTGATTAACTCTCTCTAAATAGATCTTATTGATTTTTTTAATAACTTATTTATTTTAATTTATTTTCATTTATGTCGTGACAGATGGATGACGACCTAAAAAATACCGTATGATAAATTTTTCTTACTCATCATTTTCTTACTTTTTATCTAATCTTTTTATCCGCTTATTTACTATTCAATGTTTTTTTTGTTTACAGGTTTGAAGACTTCGTCATAATTATGTGACACTATCTAGATGCACATCTTCGGATCGTATTACTGTCCTCCTTCTAGAAGATAGGTCGAATTTCACTATAAATATTGTTTACCCAGAAGTTTTGTTATAAGATTCTTATGACAAGTAAATGGTATAGTTTAAACAAGTTTATTTCTACTGAATTATGTAATCTTTTCAACATTTCAATTTTTAATTTTATAATGAGGTTCATTCTTTGTAGGATTGGAGTGAATTTGTCAACGAGAACGATAGAGTTTATGCAATGGACCTTTGTGGATGGGACCAACGTAATCCGGTAAATCTACTTTTATGTCACTGCATCAAAATAACTTTATTATTCCTACAATATAAATATTGTGTTAATTTTATTGTTTATGTGAATAATTTAGGTGGTTGTCCATTCTCCTCATTGGGCAAAGTGCGTTCATATTGATACGAGGACATTAAGGATAGTAATAAAGAGAAAGTTTAAAGGGATGAAAAAGACATTTAAGAGAGTTAAATGATATGCAATCCAGTACCGACCTGTCCACCATTGACGATGACTAACCCATCACTGACCAAACAATTGTCTAGGTGTGAAAGTCTCTCTTACTAATACTCTTTATATTTCTCTACTTCTCATGTAGACATACAACACACACATACATGCACACACACACACACACATAACTATAACCAATCAAACACTCGCAAATCAAACTTACACACCATTATACTGCCACCAATTAAGATTTATGATTGAAATCATCAAACAAATGAACTGTTTGTTGAAATGGTACTAAGAAAACCTTATTTGATTGTAAGTCTCTACATTCCTCCATATCTTTTCCTAAATAAATTGATAATTTGTTACAATCTCTCTAAATTCTTACTTATATCAATCTAAATCATTTTCCCCCCCATTACATACAAATGTGTGTTCTCATTTGTTTTTTAGATAATTCTGGGTAATGTAATTAATTATATTGAATCCAACTAACGAAAAAAATAAGAGATCTTATGTTTCGGATTTACAATTATTTTATTTTGACTCACATATTTCGATAAATTTTATATTTTAAATATTTTCAGATATACATTGAAGGATACTTGGTGTAAGTTGTAAAGAATACGAAGTTGTTTCTTTATTTTGTGCATGTGTGTATTTTTGGTGTTCCGTCTTTTGTAAAGTTAACCAATTATACATGGTTATGATGATTTTGGGTATGGAATGAAGGTTGTTTTGGTGGTTTATGTATGTATTGATGATTGTGGTGATATGATATATTATGATGATTATAAATTTTGTAGGCAGATTTAGATTTTTTTGAAGATTTATTTTTAAAAGAAACTCTGCCAAAATTTCTTGAAATTAGTAGAGACTAGCTTGATATTTTGGTGGTTGGATATGTGTTAATGATTGAGTATATATTAATTATTGTGGTGGTACGATGAATTATGATAATTGTTATGTCTGATTGTAAGTTATTTTAAGTTGTAAAGAGTCTTTAGGTAATGCAGTATTTTTTGAATTTTAATCTAATTTTTTGTTACACCGTGCGTAAAAACGCACGGACAATTACTAGTATCCCATGAAGTAGCCAAGTATCATCATAGTCGCCTCAAAAATGTGGTTCAGACCAAAGTCTCACCTTTATCACCGACTACTAGGTTTCCAAAATTTGATCTCATCCTACTAGGCCTGGGTCCAAGCGGACTTATGTCTTCTCTATTCCCCAATCACTGTCAAGTGTCGACCTAACTAAAGTTAAAAGGAGACATATTGTAATTAATTTAAAATTAAAAAAGAAAAAGAAAATAAAAACCACTAGCAAACGAAAGGCGCCGCTTGATTTCAATTGGCATCGGCATTGTTGGAAAAGCGGCAAAAGCAACGAAAGAAATTAGATCTACGGTATCCACCGGTTCGCTTATCATTAAATTGTAATATAACGTGACAATATTGATATAATATAATTATTATAATATATATTTTTTCTTAAAATAGGATTTATATCAACAATTATAATGTGTCGCACGTTGTGCGGCCGACTAATAATAAATAGACAAGGGGAGAAAACTAACCACTTATTTACATTAAATAATTACTATTTTACATGGAAGGATTTTTATTTAAAGTGGTAAATTTTTATTTTATTTTATTTTATTTTTTTGTGAATCTTACTCCGAAAAGATTTCAATTTTTTTACTTTGTATCCTCAAATATGAGATTTCTTATTTTGTATTTTCAATATATTAAAATTGTTATAATGTAGCCCTTTCGTTACAATCTGTTGATTATTCTGTCAAAACTCACTCTGTTGACATCGAAGAAATGAGTAATAAAAACTAATGAAAATGTTATATTATAACACTTTTAATATATCGAAGGTGCAACCTAAAAAAAAAAAATCTTTAAAAACACAAAATAATTTTTTTAAAACCTTTTGGGATACAAAGTGAAATTAACCCTTATTTTTTTTTTAGGGAAAATCTCATTTTATCCCCTAAAAAATATAAAAAAATTTAATTTGTCCTTCAAATTATTAATTTTTCCACATTACCCTTTAAAAAAATGAAAACATTATAATATGGGATCCACCATCTTATTTTCGTTTGATTGTCCGTCTATTTTGTACCAATAATGAATTATAGAACAGACGAACGACTAAATAATAATAACCAATAATGAATTATAGAACAGACGAACGACTAAATAATAATAAAACGTTGAACTATATTATAACGCTTTTTTTTATTTGAAGACAAAAAAATTAATTATTTGGATGACAAATTAATTTTTTTTTGTATGTTTCAGGATATAAAGTGAAATCCACCGTTATTTTTTTTTTGAAAACAAAGCGGTGAAGTTTCACTTTTGACCCATTTGTTAACTTAAAAAGAATATTTTGCCTTAGCACCAAAGCAAGCGGTGTCAAAAGCGCAAGTCAGTGTGTGTGCTTTAGGCCTAGTTCAGAATGGTGGGGGTAATGTGTGTGATCATTTACATTTGAGGGTGAAACGTCTGAGATACTCTCTCTCTATCTTCTGTCTCTCTCTCTTCGTCCATTTGGTTATTGTTTAAAGCGTTGGGTTTGGTTGGGACGGAGAGTGGCTTTTGCTTACCTTTACGTAGGAAGAAAGCGGTATTCCGAGGCTGGTTTTGAGGTAATCAAAGCGGTTTTCGATATTTAATCCATTGGTTTCTGTTCAGAATGCGATTTACTCTGTTCTGTCCAAATTCTAGATCTTTCTTAGTGTTTTTTTTTGCCGATTATGTTGTTTGATCTACTTTCTTTTGGTTTATCATACTGTTTTTGTTCGGATCGGTACGAGTTTGAGTGTTTTTTTCTTGATGATCAGATCCTGTCTGTTGCATAATGGTTCGTAACTAAATTGTTCTAATGAGTAAGGTTTTGACGGATTTCAGTTTTCTATTATATAACTTGTGTTTTTTCTTTAGAAATTGCTGTTCTCTAGTGTTTAAATTTTTTTTTTTTTTTGGTGTATCGGTCATGACTATCGGTCCAATTTTTTTCTAGGAATTGTATAATTTGATTTCAATGATTTCTATGTATATTAGAGGTGGTCTCTTATCTATGGTGTATATTATTTGGGGGCTCTGTGTAATGAAATGGAGTATTTTACTCTTCTGGTTTTGTTGTAGCAGAAATCGAAGGTTTTTCACTTTTTTAAATTTTTTTTTTTTTAATTTGAATACGGATAAATGTTTTCGTATTTTTTTTTTATCTTGACGTCAAATGTACCATTTGAATTGTATAATTCCTGAGGATCAATGTTATTATTTCAATGATTAACTTCTGTGTGGAAATGTTGTTTAATGTTTTGTACTTTTCTTGGTTATGAAATTGTAATTTTTCCTTTTCTAATCCCACTGAAGCAAATCTTGAAAGTTCAGTTGTTTTCTTTTACTAATTATTCCAGGAGGAGTTATGGACGCTGTTGTATTGTTACAGATATTTAGAATATGACAAACATTGTTTATGCTCGGATTGTATTATATATAAGTACTTTGTATACTGTCGCTATAGGATTATCTTTCATTGAAGGGCAGTTGCATCTTCTGTCTTGCTAAGGATTTATGTAAGTATTTACTTATATTTATGATTTGTTGTTATTTCTTTGGGTTGCATATTATTTGTGCTAGTTTTTGTTGTTTCAACTGGTTATGTAGAATTTTTGAAGTATTGATGGTCAGTGGTATGGGAAATATGAGACATTTTGATGGTCAGTGGTATGATTAGTAACTGTGCCTGGTGTAGTTACTAATGGTGAGGAAGAGGAGAGGAGAACCTCCTAGAGGGGGAGAGAGCAGCGGTCCTCAGGAATCCAGTGCAGGACGAGGTGCTGCGGCTCAACGCCCACCGCCACAGCAACAACAACAGCAACAGGAGCAGGGTGGATACCAAGGTGGTGGAGGAAGAGGCTCGATTCCCCAACGTGGAGGGTATGGTGGTGGCCCTCGTGGTGGAGGGGGAGGTCCTCGCGGCGGAATGACCCCCCAGCAGTACCACGGTGGGCCCTCGCAGTATCATCAGAGCAGTGGCACCCAGCAGCAGCTGCAAGGAGGAGGAGCACCTCCCCAGTTTCGAGGTGGCCGCGGGGTTGGAATTTCTCCTGGTGTACCGTCTGGGCCACCAGTTCCCGAGCTGCACCAAGCAACCGACACATTGCAACAAGTTGGGGTGATGACTAAGCCCATGCCTTATGGGAAGCCTGCAGAAACATATTCTGCTGAGGCTAGTTCTTCATCCCTGCCACATGAGCCAACATCTTCGCAAATGATGCAGCAATTTCAGGAACTCACTATCCAGCAAGAAGCTGCTCCTAGCCAAGCCATTCAACCTGCATCAAGCAAGTCCATGAGATTTCCTCAAAGGCCCGGCAAGGGTATCACTGGTACCAGGTGTATTGTGAAGGCCAACCACTTCTTTGCTGAATTGCCGGACAAGGATTTACATCAGTATGATGTGAGTTTTCTTGCTCTGTTTGCTTTTGTGTTTTCTTATTATCTTCTTGTCATTTGCTAGTTTATGCGTTTTCTCTTGTTATCTTCTTGCCAATTGTTGCATTTTCTTACAAATTATTTTCCTTGTGCGGGCAAGGTTACAATTACACCCGAGGTCCCATCACGCGGTGTCAACCGTGCTGTAATGAAACAACTGGTGATACTGTACCGTGAATCCCATCTTGGAAAGCGCCTTCCTGCATATGATGGACGGAAAAGTTTGTACACTGCTGGGCCTCTCCCTTTCGTTTCAAAAGAGTTCAGAATCACTCTTGTTGACGAAGATGATGGGACAGGGGGTGCCAGGTTTGTACGTTAATTTCTTTTGTTTCTTCCTGCCCTTGAATGCATGAGCTCTCTTTTATTTGATGATGATTCTTAATGATATTCTTTCCCCTTTCCTTGGAGCAGAAGACAGAGGGAATTTAGAGTCGTGATCAAATTGGCTGCACGTGCTGACTTGCACCACCTAGGGATGTTCCTACAGGGGAGGCAGGCAGATGCACCACAAGAAGCTCTTCAGGTTCTGGACATTGTTCTGCGTGAATTGCCAACATCACGGTATAATATTTTAACTAGGACTCTTGATTCTACAGTTCTCACTATGTTTTTCTTTATTGCTATGATATTGTTATTTTGTTTTGTCAGATGTTCAGTCTTTCTATTGATTAATTGTCATTATTGGTTCCAGATATTGTCCTGTGGGCCGTTCATTTTATTCCCTTGATATAGGGAGAAGGCAACCTTTGGGTGAGGGTCTAGAAAGTTGGCGGGGTTTCTATCAGAGTATTCGTCCTACTCAAATGGGGTTGTCGTTGAATATTGGTAAGCTAGACTTTGAAAATGATTATTGTTCTCAACTTTTTTCTTAATTCCTGTTATCAATAGAGTGGCTACAAATATTTAGTTTGTCGTGGAAGTAGGTAATAACTGTGCTGCTGCATTTCCCAATTTATCTCCCAACTGTTAAATGCTGATTGTGATTTCGTGCCACTGGTATGATTTGATGGTGTTCAGATATGTCCTCTACTGCTTTCATTGAGCCACTTCCTGTGATTGACTTTGTAACTCAGCTTCTAAAGGGTGATGTCTCTTCTAGACCCTTGTCTGATGCTGAGCGTGTGAAGGTTAGATTCTGTTGCCTTTCTACCCAGATATTGATGCTATACCTTTACCTGAACTTGAATGTTGATTACTTCCATTTAAACTTGTTGACTGTCGTCTGTCTTATTGATCCTTCTGTGTTCAGGGTTGTTTGGCAAGCCTCCATTTTGCGAAGTTCCATTACTCTTAAAACTAAAGCTGATCTCCAATTTTTTGTAGTTTTGTAAGCTCTTATGGATGTTTTAATAGAAGGTTTAGCTGAATGTTCTTTGTAGTTAACTGAAGGTTACCTTCAGCTGTGGTTTAATTTTTCTGTCTACTTTATTGTGTCTCTGCATATATTTATGTGTTTGTGTGTGCATGCGAGCATGCAGGTTTTATTTGTTTCCTTGTGTTATGTTTAATGTTGTGATAAGTATCTCTAGGCACGAGGCTAGGTGCACCTGAAGAGCTTCAATGAAACCTAAAGCAAGGCTCAACTTTGCCAAGGCACATGGGTTTTGTTTTTTTTTCCTGTTAGTTAGATACTTTGGTCCATTGCTCTGTGAGTTCTATGTAATACTTGATATGCACAAGTCATATCACCAAACCATACTAGATCTCCAAATATAAATATTTTATGCTAACCCCAAGCTCTAGCTGTGAACTTCATCTACGTCACCCTCTCAATCTCTTCTGGTTCTATTTCTAATTCTTGTCTCTATGTATGTCTCTCATTGATCTTTCTTTCTCTACCCCTAATTTGGTTCACTAGTCTCTAATACTGTCAAATTAGCCTCTGGTTCTAAGTAATATACTTCTCTGGCTTGGTTTGATTCTCCCTCTTGCCCCTCTTCTTCTTTCTAATCTGTTTGGGAACCTTTTTAAATTCTATTAGTTATATAGATGTTGGGATTGGTGGAGGTTGCTTTTAATTGAGAACTTAGTGTTGCAAAATGTAGGTCATTTCTTTGTAATTTGCTAAGATATGATGTTGAAAGGTGATCAACTTTGCTTGGAATATCACTGTAATTTGCTCTACTCTATTGTGAGTTGTTTATGGTAGTTTCTTGAATTTGGTATAACAACTAGTTTTATTTTTACCGTACTTAATTTTTAAAAAAATATTATCTACCTCATGGCCTCACTACAGTGAAACCCTTGCCTTCCCTTACTCCCACTCCTGTGGTTATGATTACGTCTTTATCTTGCTGACCCCAAATAGTTAGGATAAATTTGAGTTGATTGGAGATTAGTTTATGTCTTCATCTGTCTTTCATGTGGTCAGTTATTCTCTTATCTATTTAATTGTCTTGTCCTATTTAATTATTTTGGTTGCATGTTTTGTTATTTCTGCTCATAAATGTTAGGTATTTGTTCTTAATAGGACTGATATTGGTTATTATATCTTCTACCTGGCTGAATCTTTGAGGGGGAACAAAAATTTTATTGATTACAAACAGTTACAGTGGAGTTTGACATGAAATCCAACCAAAAGCATTACAAAAAATTGGCTGAATCTTAATATGTTAATATGTTATCTTGTGTTTTTTTTTTTTTTAATTTTGTTTGGGAGTGGTAGTGGTTTGGGAGATGGTTTTGGATTGCTTTCAAAGATATTCTTTCGGCCTAAATTCTGTTTTTGTTTTGTTAGTGTCAGCTAAATGGAACGTATTGTGTAGTTTCCCATATTTAACTTTAATTGTGGTGAATGTCTACTATTTGCATGAATGTAGGTTAGCTATATTATTTGCCTCTTCAGTTGGAGATTTATTGAATGTAATGTGCAGGGTACTTGTAAATATTTTTTATCTTCATCACTGACTTGATATGCATAAACAGATCAAGAAGGCTTTGAGAGGAGTGAGAGTTGAAGTTACACACCGGGGCAATATGCGTAGGAAATACCGTATCTCTGGTTTAACATCACAGGCAACTCGAGAGCTGACGTAAGGGTCAATTGTAGCTTGTCATTTTTTGATGAATCATCCATTCCCATTTAGGCCGTGTAACTTCGTCTTTCACTTTTTTTTTTCCCAGTCTGATATTGTTTGTGGTTTATGGGTGTTAGTTTCCAAGTCGATGAAAGAGGTACAATTAAGTCGGTCGTAACGTATTTCCGTGAGACATATGGGTTTACAATTCAACATACTCAATGGCCTTGTCTACAAGTTGGAAATCTGCAGAGGCCAAATTATTTGCCTATGGAGGTCAGTGCTATAACTTCTGTCAGCAGTGTTTAATATTCTGTGTATATGCGATGCTTACATGTTGGTCAATTTAGGTATGCAAAATAGTGGAGGGCCAAAGATATTCAAAGAGGTTGAATAAGGAACAGATTAAAGCTTTGCTGACTGTTACCTGTCAGCAGCCTCGAGACAGAGAAAGAGACATTCTTCAGGTTGCTATCTCAGCAAAATTCTTTATGGCATTATTGCAATATTGCATATATTCAAATTTGAGTAACTTTTTATATTCTTCGTGGCTGTTACATTTACTGGGTGTGTAATAACTTTCCATGCAAATCTGTTGGTTCCTGTTTTGTTTTAATGACACATCATTTTATGACATTAATTTGTTAAAAGGTATAATTCTTGGTTTGGTTTAAAGTAATATTTTCCCATTTCCACCATCCAACTTTCGACAAGTTTCAATTCAGTCCAATTGATGGCTTCCTAAATAAACTAAATTGAAAATGTTACGTGTTTTGGAAAAAAAAAAAAGAAGTAATGCTCACTGCTTTTTTTCCTTGGAAATTTTGACTTGGTGGAATTGATACTATTTCAAAAGTGGAAAACAAAATTGACAACAAAAAACCTCTAGCGTCCACATGTAAATCAGCTGAATCTTAAAGCATGAAAAGTATAATTGACCTTTATTTAAACGTTTAGGCCCTGTTTGGCTTGTGTGCCAGTAATGTTTTTGTTTTTTGTTTAAAAATTGTAGTTCTTGTAAACACTAGAGGAAACTATGAATTATTTTCTGTCATTGATGAAAACAAACTGCTTTTGTTTAACTTCACTAGTTAGGTGTCCGTTGCACGCTAATTAGAGTCTGTTTGTGTTATATAGTGAATTTTTTACATGAAAGTCTGCTTTTATAGACTAAGCATTCGATAACAAGTAGTTGCTATCAAAGCTTAAATGATAAAAAAAAGTACATATTATAAGAATATCTAGTTTGAAATAATAGGAGGCTAAATTTAAGCAAATGGACCATATCTATTTCTTACTTTTCTATTAATAAGAAGATCAAAATATAAAGTCTAACATGTAGTTGAGTTCTAAGTGAGGATAATCCTCTCATGTTTGGGTTTTTGTGCACAAGAATTCTAGGATTTTAGCAAAGTAGATGCATGTCACTTGTCTTCTAATTTGCTTCAAATAACACCCTAAGCTGTCTTAAGATTCTTGTGAAATAATTATAATTGTTCCAAATTAGCCCCCTTGATCATGAAACAATCAAGTTAAAGGTATCCAGATTACACAGATCATGTAAAATATATATATTTTTTCACAGCAAATATTTTTTACATCTTTGACTTTTTTTTAAGTTAAAAATATGTTCTTGCATAACTCTCAAAAATCAATGAATGAACAATGAAATTAAGTACATGAGAATTTGAATTTCTAGTCATTGTCAATTGTAATGCCTAAATATGTTAATTGGCTTTATATTATGACAAACAAAAGAGAGATAAGAAACCCCTAGGAATCAGGGAAAAAACTTCTTTCATAAATAGAGTTTTAGCCACTCTAAATTTTTATCGCATGATGCTATCTCAGAGTACTATCTATCCATTTACGAAATCTAATTTATGTAGGTTGGCATTCCTCTGTATGGGATGATAAAATCCTTCCATGAAATGTTCCCTTAGATTGTATGAATAATCAAGGTTGAAGAATCTTTCTTTTTAGCTATTTGCCCAGCAAAAAATTATTAGCACAACTCTTGCAAAGGCTATGTAATTTTTGGTTGACATTGATAAAGCTCACCCCTGTTAGATATGCAAACATGCTCCGTATCTGTGCGTGCTGGATCTTGCACAATATAAACACGAGAACAGATCTCTCCCTTGGTGAACTCGAGTGAGTCAGTCGAGTGGTCAACCCTACTGCTTGGAACAGCCTGTGAGGTCCGGTGGTAGCCTGAAACGATAATGGGAGACCCTCGTGGATCAACGGAACGATCCAGTAAGGCTGAGGAAGGTTCCTGGAACAAAGAAAGACAAGTTAGAAGGGCACCGGAGTGTTTTCCGGCGTATCTCCTCCGACGATTAAGTCAGTTTTTGAGAGAGAGGAAGAAGAGAACACTGAGTATAAGTTTGAGAAAAGGTTTCACCTTCTTTTTTATCTTGCCTTTTGTGAGGAGTATTTATATCTCAAAAACTCATGATTGCTGTCAGTGTGGTCAGTAGGTGATCATTAGATACGAGTAACGTGCACATTGATTCCTATGAGGAATGTCTTCTCTTTTAACTGCGCGGGATCCCGAGCAACCAAAGCTGTGTCATCGGTCTATCGACTATTTAATGAGCTCCTCTTGGCAAGGATGTAATAAATGCCCAGCCTTAGGGACATTTATTACCTTTCACTTCCGAGCCTTACCACATTAAATGTTGTCTTATCAAGGGAATGGTGTAATTAAATGCTTGTTTTCCCAAGTCGTGTGTCAGCAAGGGCATCCGGTCTTTTTGTCTCTGATGTGACACAATATGTCACACGTCCATTCCCCATTGGCTGTGTCCCCTGCCTTCTTGTGCCTTCTGACACCAATTGTGTAAGACGAGGTCATGATGACTAACCTAGCCTAGTCTAGGCTAGTGACCTGTACATCAATAGCCTCTGCAGGAACAGAGAACGCCATCCTAGACGGGTACATCTCGGTACTGAGGGGGAGTGGTACATGTAGGGACCGATGTACCCTAACCGACCCCGAGGGATACGTGTCGGTATGTAACGTACTGGGTGTCATTGATCCCTATGAACAGTACCTCGGGGGAACAGGGACTTGTGATCCGACGGGTACGTGTCGTGTTTATAGGAAAAGAATTTACTGATGCCGATGACATGTGTCTTCATCTTGGAGTACTTGGAAATGTCTCATTAGTATCCTAGATCCAAACATCACTTACCTGAAGAGAAATTATTCCCTCCATGTTTTTCACCACTTATGAACCAGGAAGTTGGTCAGGAAAAAACCTATTCAACTTATCGCATAAGATTAACTAAATCACTGAAATAAGCATGCCTCTTTTTTAGCAGAAGCTTTACAAGCAATAATTATTGACATAGCTAAAATCACATCACCTCTTACATAAATAAGAAAAATAATAAGTAAAAATTGAGGGATGACTTATCTTTAAACATTATAGGAATCATGAGAGAGAGAGAGAAGGGGGGGGATCTTCCATGGATTTAGAAAGCTAAGGGGCCATAATGTCGTTCCGTCTCTATTGTTAAGTTTGCTTTTTGTACAAAAGATTTTGGAATATTCTGTAGTTTTTTGAGAGTAATTGAAATATGAGGTTTTAAATATTATACAATATGATTGTAGCTCATTCGAGATTTTTATGCATATGTTGCTTGATTTTAAAAAATATGAAAAGAATAGAGATAAATCGACAGTGATGGACAAAAGGTCAAATGCATCAGATTTGTTCGCACTAAAGCTAGAAATAGACTTGTCAATGGATAAAATTTTGATTTGAATATGATTCAGTTCAGAATTTGATTAGTTGGACATGGATTGATATTTTATATTGATTATCCAAATTCAAATCTAAATTTGTTGCATCATCTTTAATTGAATGGGATTTGGTTACATCAACATTTGATCCATTATCTGATCTAAATCAAAACACTATAAACTGTTGATAGGATTATAAATATCTTTTCTATAGGTTAAAAAAAAGTTCTAGTTAACGAGTCTTTTTATAAATCTTCTACTCGTCTATACCACATATTAAACCAAAAGATTATACATAAAAGATTAAAAATGTCTCCACAATAGGTTAAAAAAACCTCTAGTGCAAGAGTCTTCTTCGACACTTCTACTCCTCAGCCTCAGTTTGCCCCTGACTCTTACCTTTTTCTCTCCCTCTTCGGCCTAGATCCACTATCTTCGACTTTTATCTTCTATTTATGGTTTCATCCATAGTTGTTAGTATCGTATGATACGCGATACGTATCATACGATACGTTACGATACAGAGATAAAACGATATGGATCGTAGTTATGTATCGTTTTTGCGTCGTATTGTCCGATGCACGATACGTTTTTACGATACGATACGTATCGCAAAACTTTTTTTTTTTTTTTTCCTGAAACGACGTCATTTTGTCTAAATAAGACACTAATTTTATCCTCGCCACTGATGAAACGATGTCAATTTGTCTAATTAAGACACTAATTTTTTTTTTTGTATAAAAATTTCTGAATATTGATTAATTTTATGGATTGAGTTTAAAATGGATGTTAGAAATTTAGATTAGAAGTTTCTTTGATGTTTGAAGTTTGAATTAGTGAACTATGGTTGTAAACTTTGCATTATAATATTAGTGAACTATGTTGATGACTTGAATAGGTGGTGGAGTATTAATGATATGCTATATTTTTATGAGGGTATAATTTTTTTTCAAAGGTATATATATTTTTTTATTATTTATTTAAAATTACACTATATTTTATGATACACGATACGATATATTATTTTTAAAAAACGATACGCCTTCCGATACACGATTTAATAACTATGTATAGGATATTATGTGGTTTTCTATGATTTTCATCTAATGTATCAGGTAGTCATGATGCCTTCACATTCAAATATTAATGTTACTCTTGATGCTTGTGATTTGGTTTCATAAAGCTTGGCATATAAATCTTAATTTCAACGGGTTTTATAGTTATTATTTGGACCGAATGAGAAGCAAACCAATGTTTCAGAACAAAGACTGATTGATTCTGATTGCACATCTTCTGATGCATGTAAAGAGTGCTTTAGTTATGCTGTACCATTTTCAGAAGAAAGTGGGTCTGTATTCTATTGCTTTATTTCATTTCTTCTTTGGCAGTCTTGTTTGTACTTGCCGTCCTTTTTTTGGCTCCCCTGCCCATGTAGTTGGAAGGAATTTTATCCCTGATGTTATTGTAATTTTATCAAGCTTCCAGTTTCTCTTTTCCCCTCTTTCTTTTACCTTTTCTTTGCTGGTGTTCACAGAACGAATAACCTCCACTCTTTGTCCCCCTTCGCCCCTTCTCCGGCCCCTGACATGAAGATTATGACACAAGTCTCAATCTATTCTTATATACTTTCTCAAAGCAGTATATATGTGTAGCCCAATTTTGAAGGCCTAAAGTTAATGCTACTTCTCTTCAATGTATATTGGATTTTAAATGTACAGCAAAGTACTGGATAATTTTCTTGCTCTTGCAGACGGTCCATCATAATGCTTATGCTGATGATCCTTACGCAAAAGAATTTGGAATTAAAATTAGTGAAAATATGGCCTCGGTTGAAGCTCGCATTTTGCCTGCTCCCTGGGTAATTGATTGATCTCTGTCGTTAATTTTTTCCTGATTTATCTTTCTATCTATTGTTGCTATTTTGACGGCTTTAAGTGTCTCATGACCTGTGTGCAATTGCTTTTGCAGCTTAAATACCATGATACTGGTCGTGAAAAGGATTGCCTACCGCAAGTTGGTCAGTGGAACATGATGAATAAGGTAACATTGTCTTTTGGAATTATGACAGCTGCATATATTCCAGTTCGATTAAAATTCTTTGTTGGCAAGCAGATATTACTCCCAATTCTGCATGACTCAAACCTGTTCTATAAAACATCTTCATTTCATGAATTACATAGGGAATACTATCCTGGGAGTTTCTTTTTTATTGCCATCTATTTTTTTGATGACAATTTCATGTTAATAGGTTGATTATTAAATGGATGTGATGCATTTTTTACAATGCTACTTATGGCTTTACTGATTTGTCTAGTTATTGCATGGTCGAATAACTAGTAGCAGTGATTGTACTGCTTTGTGTAGTTATAGATGCATTGAAAACTAGTATGAGCAATTGTGCCGCTTTGTTTAGTTGTAGAAGGTTTGAATAACTAGTATTGGTGATTGTAGAATCGTAGTGCTCTGCCCTTACATGGGTTTATTCAGAATGGCATTGGTAAATTCCGCTGGTGTCTTCGTCCAAATATTTGATGTGTAATTTTCCTAACAGGCCATTAACTGATCATTTATTTGATTGACATTTGCTGCAGAAAATGGTTGATGGGGGAACAGTGAGCAGTTGGATCTGCATCAATTTTTCACGGGGTGTTCAAGATAATGTGGCCCGTAGCTTTTTTTCTGAGCTTGCCCAAATGTGCATGATATCTGGCATGGTACTGACTTTGGGCTGTAATTTTACATCTTTCTTTTTTACTTCTTGAGTTTGTGGTCTCTACTCTGAACTGTGGATGTATGTGGTATTTTTACAGGCATTTAATCCTGAACCTGTGCTGCCAGCATTCAGTGCCCGATCTGATCAGGTGGAAAGAGTCCTGAAAGCTCGTTTCCATGAGGCCATAATCAAACTCCAGCCCCAGAAAAGGGAGCTTGATCTGCTGGTTGTTATTTTACCGGACAATAATGGTTCTCTTTATGGTATGAAACTTAACTTCGGATATTAGTACAGGACGGTATTTGGTTCTTTTTAGTCCTGGAAAGATGTTTGATTTGTATTCTTTCCTTTTTTTAGGATTTAATTTTGCCCTCTTTCAGGTGATTTGAAGCGGATTTGTGAGACAGATCTTGGAATTGTTTCCCAGTGCTGTTTGACCAAGAATGTGTATAAGATGACTAAACAGTATCTTGCAAATGTGGCTTTGAAGATCAATGTAAAGGTCGGAGGTAGGAATACGGTGCTTGTTGATGCTCTATCAAGGCGCATACCTCTGGTCAGCGACCGGCCTACGATTATTTTTGGTGCTGATGTTACCCATCCCCACCCTGGGGAGGATTCAAGCCCATCTATTGCCGCCGTATGATACTAACTTAACAACTTCTGCTCATAATTGTTTTTCCCCATGTCTGCCTGTATTGAATTGTGCTCTCCGCTGTAATTGATGTCCTGTTTTTCTTTGTTTTTACCTGGATTAAATTGGATTTCTTTCATTTTTGGTATTTTTCACATTGGAGCTACTTGAATGTCAATTCAGGTTGTTGCTTCTCAAGATTGGCCAGAGGTCACAAAATACGCTGGATTGGTTTCTGCTCAAGTTCATCGGCAAGAGCTCATTGAAGATCTGTTTAAAACTTGGCAAGATCCTGTTCGAGGGACTGTGACAGGTGGCATGATCAGGTATCATCCACTCTTATCCCTTATCCTTACATCCCCCCCCCCCCTCCCCTCTCCCAAAAATAAAAAAATCTCTGTTCACTGTGAATGTAGTTGGATTGATTTTATTACCCCTTTTATGATTCAGGGAACTACTGATTTCTTTCCATAGAGCAACTAGACAGAAACCACAGCGCATCATATTTTACAGGTATCGTGTGATATTGTCAAACTGATATCCTATATCTGATCTGCCAATTTGTGCTACCCATGCCTGATAGGTATTCTCTACATGCAGGGATGGTGTCAGTGAAGGGCAGTTCTATCAAGTTTTGCTTTTTGAACTTGATGCAATTCGAAAGGTGATTCATCTCTCTCTCCCTCTGAGATCTTGGGTTATTAAGTTTCTATATGCTCGTAAGTTCTGTGAAGTCTAATTTCCATTCTCTTTACTTCCATTGAACTAATCTCAGGCATGTGCATCATTAGAACCAAACTATCAACCACCGGTTACATTTGTGGTTGTTCAAAAACGTCATCACACAAGGTTGTTTGCCCACAACCATAGAGACAGAAATGCAGTGGACAGAAGTGGAAATATACTACCTGGTAAGTAATGCACCTTGTATGTCAACCTTTTGCTAGAATTCCTGTTTTTTTACTTTTTCCATTATGGAAAATTATATGCTATATGCAACATACAGGTACAGTTGTAGATTCAAAGATATGCCATCCTACAGAGTTCGATTTCTACCTTTGCAGCCATGCCGGCATTAAAGTAAAAGATATTTTCTTCACATATTTTACTTATTTAGAATGAATTAATTAAATGAAGGTTTTGGATGTAATCTTTATTTCAATTTCATATTGTGTGACAGGGTACAAGCCGGCCAGCACATTACCATGTATTATGGGATGAGAACAACTTCACTGCTGATGGTCTGCAGTCACTCACAAACAACCTCTGTTACACGTAAGAGCTCTTGTTTTCAAATGGAGGTTTGCTTCTTGTGGCATCCTTCACAAATGACGGAATACTCCTTGATTATCCATCACTTATTTTAGTGGTTGTGCTTTTATCTCTCAAATCATGGTGCACAAAATTTCAGTGGATGTCGAGTTTGTTTTGCAACAGGCACCCATCTAAAGTTCAATTTGCTGCTGCTTTAAATTTTGATGGTATGGTTGTGACTGGTTTCCATTTTGTTTTCACAGATACGCCAGGTGCACTCGTTCGGTTTCAATTGGTAAGCTCATTCCTCACTTTCTCAATGCCCATCATTATACTTATCTCCACTTGACTTCTGTTAGATTTATATTGTGTGATGGTCTTAAGGAGTAGTGTAAAATGTCTTCTCTTTGTCAGTGCCACCTGCATACTATGCCCATCTGGCAGCTTTTCGTGCTCGCTTTTACATGGATCCCGAGACATCTGATAGTGGTTCAATGACCAGTGAGACAGTTGCTGGTCGTGGTGGTGGTGCAGGTCCGCGTAGTACACGGCTGCCAGGTGCTAATGCAGCTGTAAGACCTCTTCCTGCCCTAAAGGAGAATGTGAAGAGGGTGATGTTCTACTGCTAGGTTGGTTACTGGCTACTTGGTTGATTGCATGCTTTTATATTAAACTATCGAGGACAAATTATAAATTTCCAAATTCAACATTTCTGGAATGTGTGTATTGCTGTTGATGTTTGTTGCATACTGTAAAGATGGGTACAAGTTCTGATAACTAAGTTTGTGGATACTGCTGTAATGGGCCTCTGGTCATTGGATGATTTGTTGGTGCCTTTAACACAAGAATCGATGTTTTCTCTGCACAAGGTAGATGCCTGGACAGCCAATGAAGTGAACTTACCCTTTGTTTCTACTTTCTCGATGCCTAGTTGGTTATTTTACTGAATCTCTGTGGCATGAATGAACTGCGGCTTGTTGCTTGGCTCATTTTCAACCACTTTTGCTTTCAATCCAGGCATTTTTGAACCAGATCCTCTTTGAGGTGCTCTGACTATTTGTGTGTTTGATAATAAGTTCGTGTTTGTTCCTAAGCAATCTTCTTGCCTTTATGGTTCAAGTATACTACAAAACATAGCTATTGTTCCACAACCTTCACCCTCTCATATATATATATATATATATATATATATATATATATATATATATATATATATATTGATGGGACACTTCTGAGATGGGAGCGGATGGCCAACACGTGTTCTCGGCACCGAGGACACGTCTTTTGCCCTTGGTAGAAACACGTGTCCTCGGCTCTGATGGCGTGTGTTGCTCTTCTGCAAGTGGTCATGCTCGGTGTTGACGTGCTCCTCCTTATGACAGACGTGTTCTCAGCTCTAAGGGTACCTCCATTTCGAGGGAAGTTATGTGCCCTCGGCGTCGAGGGTGCTCGTTGAAGTTTTGATCTGGCCACGTGTCCTCGGGTTCTGGTGAGGTATTGATTGACAGTTGAACAATTTAAACTAGACTAGAAATCAAGAGGGTGTCCTGCACAATAAAAGTCAGAATGACAGAATGAACTGGACACTCAACTAGAGAGAATCAGATGTGTGGTATAAAGTGCAGGATGAGGGGTAGACATAGAAATATCCTTGTTGATTTACGGTTATCCCAAACAAGTATTTAATGAATTTTCAGTGATGTGACATTCACAGTAGCTTGAGAAATTGAGGATATGAAGTATTAAATGCCTTGGACTCCTTGCATTTAAAGTTTTTACATCGAAGAAAGAGCTCAGGAGCCCGAGCAATCTCAATAATGGGGTCTCCTCCATGCAAAATAGGAGGCATGTAAACCTATGTTTGGGTACTACTTATTGAATAGGTCGTTAGTAATAATGAACCTTTGGCAGTATAAATAGTTCTCAACAATATGAAGTAAATATATGCAAAATTATCCCTCAAGAGCAATACAGTGTTTTCTTCTTCCTCTCTTTCAGAACTAATTTGATCGTCAGAGGAGATACGCCGGAAAACACTCCGGCGCCCTTTTAACTTATTTTCTGTGTGCTAGGAGCATCATGCGACCCATCAGAATCAGTTGAACAATCCTTGAAGCAATTTATCACCACTTCTTAGGTCCCCTTTGACCCTCTTAACTTATTATTTGCTGCGGGATCCATCACTTTCTTGACGAACATGAGTTCACCAGAGGAAAAATCTGTTTCCATTTCATCTATTGTGCGAAAATTATCGCGCATATACACACACACACACATGTTCATACTTTTTTTTGGATGTCTAATGTACCATGAGTATTACAATCTTGTCAATAGCATTACAATTTAGTTGTTATACATTATGAGCAAACGAATGAGTTTTAAAAGAAGCAATTCATCTAATAGAGTAGGAACATCCAAAGGGCTAGGGGAAAATAGAAATATAGAAAAGAAGAGTAGAACAGATCAATCATTCCCTTGGCGACAATTGAATCCCCGGCTTCCCATTTGACAAAATAAGGATTTGCCAAATGGGCTAGACCCTGTTACTTAGATTGATAAGAACATTTTCAATACCTATTCTATTCTCACTCAATTTTCTGTTTTGGAGAATCTACTCTCAAAATAGTCTAGTAGAGAGCTAAATTTGATTCTCTACATTTAGAGAGTCAAACTCACTCTGAAATCTAATTTTTATGAACAAAAAAAAATATAAATACTTTTTTCATTAAATGACATTTATCAGGGTAAAAGTTCTAATAAAAATCTAAGTCTTTAGTTCATCTAAAACTTTGAGATTCCTCGGGAATAGTTTTTGTCAAACTACACAAGCACTACAACAAGGTAGGCGATTAAATTAATTCTTCAAGTTGTCTCATTTCAGTAGGTTTCAACCACAATTCTAGTAGCTTTCAGGCAACACTATTTGATTCCAACCATTAAGTTAGCCTTTGGTATGTGTATATAGATCAATATTTATTATATGCATATCATCTATATTACTTATAAATATCAGCATCTGAAAAAAAAATTTGATTTCTATTTTATCCTTAATTATTATAATAAAGTCAATTATACTCACCTATATATTTTCATCTAATTTTATTTTTTTACACCTATTTGACTCATATCTTATTTTGGACTATTTTATAGGGACTTTTAAATTTTTTTAAACTCATTTATTAGTAGTACACTTACATACGATTATCTATATCTATATGAAGAAGTAAAGTGCTATACGGTCAAATATATGTTATATTTTTTTGTATGCAATAATATAATATATAATAATATTATAAGTGATTTAATAAACCTATTTAATAAAATAAAAGTAGATGCCAAAAAATTTTAAAAGGGTTAGAGAGATACCTAAATAAATAACAGATACTAAAAACTTATAAAGTAAATAAATAATTAAATTTAGCAATATTTAAAATACTGATTAATTATTCGACACCTAATTTATTATTTAATTTAATTACAAATATAATTCACATTTTTTATAAAAATAATATCATTTACATTTGTTTACGTGCAACACTCGATGTACATTGCTAGTATATAAAATATGTCACTTCTTTATGTTTGGTATCGTGTATATAGTAGAAGGATGGACGGTTAACGGGATAATCAATAAAAAAAATTTAAATTTGGTAAAAGAATAGTAGAAAAATGGGAGGGAAGCCAAATTTATTCTCAAAAAAAGAAAAAAACAAAAAATAATAAAATTATAAGAATAAAGAGAACTATTAGAGTGGTATATAAATATTAACTCTCTATCTTAACTTTTTACATAAGATTCTATATTTTTTAGAAAATATACTCTCTAAAATAAAGAGAACTGATAGAGATGCTATAACAATGTATCGAGGGATCATTATGAACTTAGTTTTCCTTGATAAACTTTCTTCTTCTTTTTTAATGGTAGATCATCCGAATATGTATAATTTCACTTATAAATCGTGGGTTCTAATTAAATTCGTGGCGAATAACGTACACCGTTGAAAAAAATTGAGAAAAAGGTATTGTCAATGATCTTACCTGGCAAATTTGGGTACAGCACGAAAAAGCCGTAATATCTTAAAATCGAAAAAAAGTCATTCTCCTCTTTGGTCGCAAGAAGAAAAGGACTTTGACATTGACCATCATGCTTTCATTTTCTCCTATTCAAACGCACGATGGAAGGTTGAAAGAAGCTCACATTAGACAGATTTGTCAAATGCAGATAGCTACATGTGGGGTTGGTGTCTTGCCCAATGCCATTGGGGGTGGGATCAGTGTCCTTAAATTGTGGGTTTACCCTTTTTTTTTTTTTTTTTTTTTAAGTTTAATAATCAAAAGTATTTGAATTAATTTACGCGCACTTCAACCGATCTTTTTCTCGGTTCAATCAAAGGCAAATCATCAACCTCGTCGAAACTAGGAAATTCATGAGAGAGGTTAAGATTTTGGAGTATTACTTGGATAGTCTTTAAACATTTACTAAACCAAATTGTGTACAAAATTCTACTAAATCTATCGTATAACCCCATGTTAACTTCAAGATGGTGTTAATTACACAAAAATATTCACCGAGTTATAACTACATATCGGAAAGTCTTTGAGCATATATTGAACTATGTTGGATATTTAACTATTTGATGAAAGAAGTTTAACTTTTTTACGAGTTGACAATATTTTTTCACATTTTCCTATTATGCGTGTTTAACTTTTAGATAATAATAATAATAATTTTTTTATTTGGGGAGGGGATTAGATAATAATAATTGCTTAGGTAAAAGGACTCAAATTATATTATTTTTATAGTTAATGATTGCAAATCAATTAATTCAAAATTAACGACTATAAATCAAACGTAGTACTGAAATTTGTGGCTTTGGTACCTTAATCGTGTCCAAGAATAGTGGATTCCATCTATGTCGTTGTCCAAAAGGCTACCCATGTCTTATATCCCAAGAAATCAATCTATCCTGTGGTGGATAACATGTTAAGTCGCTTCAAGATGAGCATAGTGGAGCCCTTTTTCATGTTGAACGACAAAGCCATCAAACCTGTTATTTTCTGGTCCCTACTACCATGACTTCAAAATCATGGCCGACTTCATTCTCACCCACATGCCCATGAATGACGGAGCCATGTTAAACACCTCCTTCGAATTTCCATTTTTTTTTTGTTCAATTGTGAAAAGTGTTTGGATCAGTTTACAAGTATCTCAACTGATTTCCGCTTTGGTCCAATCAAAAACAGATTATTCATGCCGAGACAAGGATATTCATGATGGATAAATCTCTTATGATTTGATTTTCAAAGAGTTATCAAAAACATCTAAATTTATAGTTCGTCACTGTTGTCATATGAGTTAGACCTTGAAATTACCCCCTTCAAGTTTCAAAAATTATGTTTTTGAGTGAACTACGTAGATGACCCCTAAAGTATGTGATCTGTTTCAATTAAGTCATTAAACTAATTCTTGTATTAATTTAGTCCTTCAATTATTGAATCTAATTCAATGTGATCTTTCATTATTAACTTTAATAGAAAGTTTTAAGTGCACATCACGTGTATGAACTAAACTATCATAATTTTTAACTCATGTGATCTAAACGTGAAATTTTTTATTAATATTAAAAACAAATTTGGACTGAAGAGTCACGTTGAATCACATTAGATAGCTGAGAAATTAAATTGACATAAAAATTAGTTCATGAACTTAGTTTAAGGATCATCCCCGTAGTTTGTTATTTCATTTTATATGGCCTTCTCAAGTATTGAAAATTCTACTTTATAATCTTAAATTAGGATCTTGATCGTTTTCAGGGGGGAGAGAGAGATAGAGAGAGACTTTTTCTATCTAACAAACATGTCTGCAGATAACTCCATTCCACACTTGTGTAAGAGGAAAGAAAGTCCATGAACAGAAGTCAATGCCCGCCCGAACCCATACATTGTTCTTGCTGTGGTGAGATTGAGAAAGGCAATTGACAGATTCAAGAAAAAGAAAAATGCGACAGAGAGAGAGAGAGAGAGAGAGAGACACACACACACACAACACTAAAGACTCTTATGGTGCATTCTTGACTCCCTCTTCAATTAAACATAATAAACAATTTATTTAAAAAAAAAACAAATAAGGACTCGCCAAAAATAAATAAATTAATAAAATAAAACAAATCACAAAGTTGTTGAAAATTGTTATGAGCTTTGTCAGTTTCGGCCATTGATGGTGGAGCATTCAAAGTTTCCACCTAACTCAGTAGTTCTCTCCTTCATTCAATACCATGCACACCCACACGAAGATCCTTCAAAGGTCTGCACTTTTCTGATATGTACGTGTATTAAAGATGGTCAAGAGAGAGAGAGAGAGAGAGAGTTGTGGGGCAGTTATCAGAGAAGAAGATGATGATCAGGACTCAGGAGATAGAGCAATTCAAGGCTGCTTTAATTTGCTGGACAGTGTTGGAGATAAGGTTATTAACAGTCGTAAATGACTCCGAGCTCATTTTAGCTGACGGCAAGCTGTTCACCAGTATTTGAAACACCACTGTAATAAGTGAACCACCTGACCTACCACCACCCCCATCTACGGCGGTGCTAGAACTCGTGGAAGCACCGTCTCCGGCAAGCCGACCATCGGGTGAGATGGTGAAACCTGATGAAAACAGTGGTATGTATGAAGGGTCCTCACCACTCATGGCTATGTTGATTGCTGGTAGGTCAATTGGGCAGTACACCACAAGTGAGCCTGATGAATCTGTACAGCTTTCTTGGAGAATTAACATGTTGTTCTGGCTAGTGTTGAAAGCCTGTCCAAGAATTTAAGATTGATCAGTCTGATAGTAACAAAATAAAGCACCACAGCAGTCCAAAAAAAAAAAAAACATAGAAAAAGAAAATAATATTACCCTTAGAACAGATATACAGTTCCCTGGATTAGAACCATTTGCAATGTGGGCAACTTCTTGAACTTGGTTTTGATTGGAAAGAACATCCCACTACATAAAATATCAATAAAAATCAGATCATTATAAAAGATATGTAGCAATATAAACATAATTTTCAAGTTCGCAATATCGACCATCAAAGGGCACTAAGACGCATTCAACGCAGTGGAACAATGTGAAGTGATGCACACAAAATGATAAGTAAAAGATTTAACACATATTGTGGCGGCGTGGAATGATATCGTGCAATATACAGCCACTTGGTTTCAATCCTGAGACATCTCAAGTGAGATTCATGGTTTACACAAAAATTAGTCTCGGAGAGAAGGTGTCAATATTAATGCGACTTAGTTAAGTCATACCAGTATCGACCAATATTTTGATCCGTAAATCTAAACTGCAGTGAAAAAACTGCTACATTCCTAGGAAGTTTTGCATATACACCTGAGGCCGAGTTCTTTCATCCCTGAAGAAATTGAAGACATTCTGTGGAGGAATTGGGAGCCAAATAGTGGTGGCTGCACTAAGAACTACACCACTGGACTGGCCGGGATCGGTGCTCCTGTGAAGGGTGGCTCGGACTTCGAACTCGTTTGACCCCGAAAGAGTGGTCCATTGGTGGCCATTAGATGGATTGATGCTAGCACAGAAGTTGTTTACCATCCTCTGAGCAAGTTTCATCATGCTTCTCTTGCTTTCAAGTGACGGAATTACTGGAAAGACAGAACGTAAATTTCAGATGTACACAGTTATGTATGATTAACGGTATTATAAGCTGAAGTATGTAAACACTTATGTTACATTCTTTGTAATAGTTTAAACTTTTAGACGAGTTGGTGTTTTAAGAATGTTAAAGCTCACCTCCTCCAAGATCACGAGTTGAAGTGTTGGTCACCATCAAACAAGCAAATCTTTCACACATCCTTTGGAGAGTAGCAAGCCATCTTTCAGCTCCAAATGCCAATCCACTGTGAATAAGATCTCTGTAAAACCTATGAATTGGAGCTTTTTCTTCAATTTCCCAGTGTTCCACCCAAGTAACCTGTCCTTTGCACAACAAGAATACCTAATGTTACAAAAATTTATGGGGTCCAAGTAAGGATCAAAATTCTGTTTCAGTTCACAATATTGATTATCTTGAAAACGGAAATGACTTGTTTCAGAAAAAAAATGGAAATGGAGAGAAAAATTAGAAGTTTGCTTCCGAAACATTGGCAGAAACATGCAATAACATAGAAATTTCTATTTCCAACATTCAATTTTTTTTTCCTAGTTTTCATTGTTCGGTGAAAAAAAAAAAAAAATTTCGATTCTTGGATGCAACTGTATAAAGATGCTCACAAAACTATGCATATCTTAAGAATTGTTTGACAACCTTGGAGTATCCATTGGGCATGTCTTGAATCAAACATCCAGAAGGCAGCCTGTGAGCTCTACATGGAGAAGCAAATTGGCTATCTTGGGGAAGATCATCATAAGAAACATCAACAATTGCCCAAGAGTCTTGCTCAATTTGCTGACAAAATCGAAGGAAATAGAATTGTCTAGTTGGTACCAATGGCGAAAGCACCTGCAACTCTTCATACATCTGCCCAAGATAAAACTTTAAGTAAATACTAGCTAGTATATAAACCTCCCAAACAACTTAACATTCAAAGGGAGCGACTTCAATACCGAATTCAGCACTCTACCGAAAGTTATTAGAAAACAAGAATGCGATTATGTCTCAATTTAATAATGTTAACAACCCAATTTGGGTCAAGTTGTAAACCCAAAAGGTTACATCACCTGATTCATCTCTAAAAAGAGATGGGATCGATTTCAAACTGTCAGGATTGATCTTAATATTTCCAGATCGATCTTAAACGAGTTAATTTTATCATCACTTTCCTGGATTGATTTGTGGTCTTGTCTCTATTTATAATAACTTTCAATGTGGTACTAAAATATAAATTTTTAGTATCGTAGTTTGTCCCGTATTCATATATATACATTAAAATTAGAGGTTGGAGATTGCTTCTAATTACCAGTTGCAAGGTACCACTATGGCTACCCAACATTCCAGATGATATAACATCAACTATTCTTGCCCTTGAGACAATAGTAGGAAATAGCTCCACAACTTTGTTCTGCAAAACAAAAAATAACTATCATTCTGGAAATCAAAGGCCCAAAATGAAGAGGAAATACATGTACTACTGTCAGAAAAATTATAGAACAGATTGAAAGAACTAACCGTGTCCATAAACATGTCGATCAAAGCCAAACAATTCATTATAACAACACCTGAATCTCTAGACGCTTCAATCCTCACGTTGGGATTTTTCAAATGCTTGTTGGCTTTTGGGAACATTCTCTCATAACTTTCATGATCAAGAACATCCCTCCTATCAGTAGTCGATTTCATCCACAAAGGTTCATTAGTCTGCAAAAGTTTGATCAATTCATCCATTGCATTGCCTGCAATATCCGCCATGAGAGATTTATCCATGTCGGTAATGCTCATTGATGGGAATGGTAAGGTTGGAATAGTCGGCGAGCTCCCAGGAAGAAGATCAAGATCAATAGAAGGACCAGTAATACCATGGCCTGGTCCAAAACTAGCCATGGATAAATTCATAGATGATATATTATGAACAGGCATTACTGGAGGGGGGTGTGAAATAGGCCACCCTATGTACTTGGCAGCAATACTAGACACTCTATCAAGCTGCAAATTAAACATTAAAATTAGATTGAACAAAACCTTTTAGGAGATTAAAATGGCAATCTAAATAACATTCAATCAATCTATTAAGTGTAGCGAGTCTTAAAGCAGGTTCTGAAATCTTCTTTTTATATCTAACTTTTTTTTTTTTGTCGAAACAAAAAGAGACTAAGAACTCATTTTCTTTCTATATTTAATCTTAGTCAAAAGACCGAAAAATGTATTACTCACCTCTTCTTTCAATTGTGCATTTTCCATTTGTAATTTTTGCTCATTGAAATAAGGATCTTCTTCAACCGGAGGACCTCCACAGGACGGACAGATTATATTCCTCAATGCCTCTCTGATTGCTATGTTCTCACATCGAATCTTATCATTCTCTGCCCGAAATGCACAGTTATTGGCTCGTTCATGTTGTGCCTACATCAAAGCAGTCAAAACACACATTAACCAAAGAAAGCATAAACATAAAACCAGCTACGCATCGACAAAAAAAATGAGTGATTTGTCAAAATAACATTCTTCATTAAAAAAAAAAAAAAAATTCAATCTAACACTTCTTACAAAATAGCTTTCATATGAACGTTTCTTATCTAGGTCCTATTTCTCTTTTAATGTACTATAGAGAAAACGAAGAATGTTAGACAAAAGTCAAAACACTCATTAAAAAGAGAGAGTGGGGGGGTGGGGGGTGGGGGAGAGGGAGAGAAGAACAAAAACCTTCATTTGGGTCCTCCTGTTCTGAAACCAAAACTTAATCTGGCGAGGAGCCAAACTCAACTCTCTGCTTAACTGCAATCTCATCTTCTCATCTGGGTGAGGACACTCTTTGAACATTCTTCATTCCATATACATGTAAACAACAAAAACACCACAAACCCATTGATTATTATCAAAATCACATACAAATAAGACAAAATTTTTTGTTACAAGAAATTCAAACTCACTGCATGTTAAATTACTGAAAATAATCACTGTACAACAAAACATAAAGCAGCATCATGACGTTAACTCTCTCTATCTCTCTCTCCCTCCCTCTCTTTCTCTCTAAGTATATATATAATCTGGATTGTACTGAGAAGTTGGGATAGAGTATGTAATCTTACGCTTCAAGTCTCTGAATCTGGTGAGCAGTGTGGCGGTGGTGACGTTTCTTCCTCCGGTGAGGGTCAGAGTCATCGTGGTGGTCGCCGCTTGACGATCCACCTCCTCGGCCACCGTAATCCATCGTGACAAAGCCTCACCACCACCTCTGGCAAGCGTCACACTGGTGGTAATGATAATAAAAGTAGTAGTACTTGTAGTGGAGAAGCTTTTGTAAATCAGCTAGTCCCATGATATCAGCCATATACGAATTCTCTCACTATGATATATATGATTGTGTTCTCACTGTTAAAACGATTATTTTTGGAAGAAACCAACAATAAAGGATATCAAAAAAGCAGCACAGAACGATGATAGTGTGAAAAACAAGATGATTTGGGCTATTTTTAGAAGATAGGGGGAGTTTGATTTTGAGCATGTGATGATCATGTAGCATTGTTCAACCCAAGACCCACTTCATTTTTTGTGGATACTGGCTGTGTAACGGCCGGAAAATCTTAGATATCAGCATGAATCCCGACGCTATATCTATATGTTGAGAGAGAGAGAGAGAGAGAGGACTTGGTGGAAAAGGAAATGAGATGAAATTAAGGGTGGGGAGGAAGGTGTATAATTAAAAGGGTTGTTTGCTCATAAGAAGAATGTTAAAGAGAGCCGCCAACAAATAATAACAGTAATAAATTACACTTTGATCTTAAACTATGCATTATATTCATTTATGTCTTAACTATAGTATTTTTTACAATTTACCTTAATTTGTAGTTATTTTTCTCATTACCCATTTACCTTTCACGTTTTTCCATATTACCCTATCGCGTTTTCCTCATTACACAACAAGTATCGTCAAATGAACTTATTTATATGCTGATTTTTTGTTTGATGATGATACTATTTTATCCTACCATACATTCAATATTTTCTCTAATAAATGGGTACAGTACTATCTGATGTTGTTGTTGTAACCGACGGATTTAAAGCCTTTCAGTTTCAGTCTGAATTACATGGATATAGAAAGCCACTCTCTCTCTCTCTCTCTGTAGCTGTTAGAACAAATGATAACACACTTTTAAGGCATATCAGCCGGAGAGTTAAGATTTGAATGCCGGCGTGACGTTGCCGGCAAATGACGAGTAATGAATACGATGGCAAACAAGTCCTTTCCAATTGATATTTATGTCGTTTACACACATTACAAGAAAAGTCCGCTCAAAAGTCAAACAAACACCGTTTCGGGTGTGGGCCGTGTGTGGTTGTCCACTGTCCAGCTCCTCGGTAATTATACTTCTTCTGACCTCCTCTCACTCCAGACACCCGGCCCCGGTTCATTAATCTAGAGGGATTAAAGAAAGGCAGTAGGATCTCCGGGAGCTCTTAATCAAACTGAGTTTTTTGTGGTTGATTTGAGTTTGACTTAAGTAAAATTTGTTTAGGATCGATTTTTTTTTTAAATTAACTTGAATTTGAATAAATTTTTAAACTCGTTTAGATAACAAGTCTTACAAGCTCGGTTCAATCTCGATAGGCTCGACTCGTTTATATACAAATATTCAGACTCAGTTCGGACTCGACTAATTTTTGGCTTGTTCAGGCTTGACTTGTTTCCTAAATGAGCTGAACTTGAACAATTTTTTAAACTCGATTACAAAGTAAACTTTTCAAACTCGACTCGAATTCGGACGCATTCAACTAATAGACTAATCCATGGGTCAGTAGGCTCACAAGTTCAATTATTCGGCTCAAAAAAATAGGTTTCATAATTGTTCTCATTCGAACTTGAGTCCAATATCTTTTAAAAGAAAGCTTGGACTTGTCTTCAAATTCATTATCCGGCTCATGAGTCCGCCCACAAAAACTTGGCCCAAGGGCCCACCTGTCTAATATGTCTACTCTTCCACTCAATTGTTTGAAAAAAAAATTGACCCTTAAAACTTTGAAAGTTTGGCGGTAATATATGAGACTAGTTGAGATGTGCAAATTCTATTTGTGATGAAATTTCTCATTCATTCATAAATAAAATTATCCAGTGAGTAACGGAGTAGACTGCAGGTAGCTTATCCCCTACTTGAAACCTAGTCTGACCCACACGATAACTCACTCGAGTAAAGACTTAGGCTTACCTTATTTAGTCTCGGCCCGAAAAAATTTTTGCTGGCCTAACCCCTAGAAGGTAGTCATGAATCACGTCAAAATTGAGATATTGATGAGAATAAATTCCTCATGGTCCGGTCTCAAAGGATAGTAGAAATAGTGATAGAGATAAACTGTAAACTTAGACGTTCTGAGTTCAAATCTCCCTCGTAAATATTTTAGTTTTAGCGTAGATGGTCTATCTTTGATCGGACTCGAGAGAGGATTAGTTAAAGTACGCTGTAAACTGGTTCAGACACTCTTGACCGTTGAAAAAAAAAAAAAAATAGGAAAAATTGTCCCGATTAAAAAATTGAGATGTGTCCTTAATTTTTTGTGATTAATTTAATTTATTTTTTTATTGTAAACTCATATTTTTAGTAGATATATTTAACATAAAAAAGTACTTGCAATCAAGGATAGATGTAGAATTTCACCGTGAGGAGGCTAAATAGTGGTACAATTAGGACTTTTGTTGAGAGGGGTAATTCAACAATCATTGTTAATGTCAAAATGTTTAGTTGTATAGAATTTTTCAAAATTAAATTTAATATGAAATCTTTTTAAAAAATAGTCTAGATCATAAAATTCAAAAATTAATTATTATTTCTTGTAGTAAAAATTAATTTATGATAATATCGTGATCCACCATTTTCTTTCATTTGTAACGTAAGGTAATGCCAACTATTTCTAAATTACTTTCGAAACTATAAAAATTAGTTGTGAGTTACTGCATTGTTGGTGATATAAGTAATGTTTGCAAATTGATTTTGCAACGATTATGCTTTTTTTCTTTTGATTATCAAACTCATCTAAACATGCGGCTTCATACTTAAGAACAATACTTGAAAATATATTTTATATGATTATTAAATATCAGAATATTGAGCTTTTTAAATACACAATATATAAGAATTTTTAAAAATCCAAGCGAATACATCAGATTTTTTGAAAACCTAAAGAGGATATAAAAGTATTTTGACAATTCAAAGGGGCCATGGGTGGCCCCCTCCTGGCCAAAAGGTGGCTCCGCCTTACTTGCAGTACAAACGATTAGACTAATATTAAAATTACTTTAAAAATTGAGCTTAAAAAAAATAAAACTGAGTAAATAGATTAGAGACATTAGAACATAGACGAAAATAGAATCTCTTAATTTTATGTAAAATAATATGTTTTGATTTATTTTTTGAAGTTATTATAAATTTGTAAATAAATTAGTTTGTGTGAGAGAGAGAGAGAGAGAGAGAGAGAGAGAGAGATTGTAACTGCAAGACATGAAGGAATATTGCACTAAGAATCTATACAATAAAGTAACTTACAATTCATATTTTAAAAGATAAACAAAATGACTTTTGATATTCGCGGTTGAGATCGCTTTAAATTTTATTTTAAAGTTAATCTAACGGCTAATATTAACACCCTAAATTTAATAGAAAAATAGGCCTCTAAAAGTGTGTTTGGAGTGATTTTTTAAAAATACTTCTAAAAATTATTTTTTATAAGTACTTTAAAAAAATAATAGTGTTTAAAATCATCAGCACCACCACCCCCACCCCCACCACCACCACCACCACCATCGCCACTGCAGTCGTCGCCGTTACACCATCGCCGCTGCCACAATCATCACCACCCCCACCGTCGCCGCCGCCGTCGCCACCACCATCATCGCCACTACGGACATTGTCATCCACCACAACCATCACCTTCTCCTAACACCATCACTGCCGCTCATCATCTCTCACCTTCACTACAAATCGATGCTTAAATTCTTTTATCTCTTCTCTATGTTTGTGATTTGATTTTAGATATAAATACAAATAAGTTTATTGTTTACCATTTTTTATTACACTGTGCTTTCGGCCACAGGTAATAACTAGTATTTATATATCCAAAGTTGATTAAAAACCATTATTTGTTGAATCTTTTGCGGTAATGCCAAATAAACAAGTAGTGAGAGTAGGGATTTCAAGAACTCATTAATTGATTTCTTTATAAATAGCATCAGAATTCCAAAACATTTGAATATGATGATATCTTAACGAATACGAACAACAAATCATTAAGGGTCAAACACGACGTAACCTCTAAATTTTATTACTTGTTTTAATTGAGTACTTGAATTAAATTGTATTCAAATCTTGTAGGTTCCAAATGGGTGAAACAATGTTGGTGACGATTTGTCGTTAGACTGAGGATCACATATAATCTCGGCAGAGAAATTCAAGTGATATAATAATAAAGAGAAATAAGCATAGTGTGGTGTGGCTGCACCCAAAAAAAGAGAAAAAATTAACAAAGAACATGCTTTTATTGTCCAAGTGATATATAAAAAAAAATTGTATATCCAACAGATGATTAAAAACCATTATTTATTGAATCTCTTGCAATAATTATTGAGATTTTTTTCATCAGCCCAGAGCAATTCTAAATGGAGTTGTTATTTTGGGATGTCAAATCACTCATTTGTAACTTTGAATAATATTTTGGCATCCCTGAATTATAAATATGATATAATGGCAGGTGTCAAAATGAAGTGTCATTTTAATATTTTAATATTTTTTATTAAAAATATTATTAAACTTAACAGTTATTGTTTTCATAACGATCACAATTTAACGGATATATTTTTATAGTAAAAATTTCAAATTTCAAATTATGTCCGCCGAAATTCAAATTTCAAAATTCAACCATTGAAATTCAAATTTCAAAATTTAACTGTCAAAATAAAAATTCAAAAAAATATAATTCGTCTATAAATATAATCATTTTTCTCATGTTTTCATTCATCTATATTACATTCTCTTTACAAATTCTATATCTCTTTTCTGTTTGACTATTTATCCTTTCATATTTTCATTCATCAATCTATATGAAACATTATCCTAATATTTTAGGAGAGATCCTCAATATTAGGGAATAAGATAATGATGAATTGGATATGTTGCATGTTGCAACCAGATGGTTAGAAGGGTCTAGTCAAAGACGGATAAGAAGGCATCGTGGTTTCGTTCCAAGTTACAGAACAGTTAATCGTGGTAGAGTTGAAGGTCACTAAAGACTCTACCGTGACTATTTTGTTACCCCTTGTGTATATGAAGGTTTTTTTCCAAAAGAGGTTCCGAATGAGTCGTTCTCTTTTTCTCCGAATTATAAATGAGGTTGAACAACACGATTCATACTTCATCCAAACAACAAATGCTATTGGAGTTCTCGGTTTGTTATCTCTTCAGAAGATAACAGCTGCCTATAGAATTCTTGTTTACGAAAGGCCGACAGATTTTGTGGATGAATACATCAGAATTGGAGAAAGCACTGTTATATAGAGTTTACAAAGTTTTGTGAAAACTGTTATTGCAGTGTTTTGCGACCATTACCTGGGGTCACCAAACAATAGCGATATTACTCGATTGTTACAGACGGGAGAACAACGTGGCTTTCCCGATATGTTAGGGTGTATTGATTGCATGCATTGGAAGTGAAAAAAATTATCCGACCATCTGGCAAGGTATGTATACTAGTCATTGTTACAAGCCAACAATCATTTTAGAAGTTGTGAATTCTCAAGATCTTTAGATATGACATGCATTCTTTGGGTTTTCTGGTGCACTGAATGACATAAATGTTCTAGATAGGTCCCTTGTTTTTATATTATTAGCAAATGGTCATGCTCATCCAATAAACTATACAATTAATAGTCATGAGTATACAATGAGATATTATCTAGTTGATGTTATTTATCCAAATTGGTCGACATTTGTAAAAACAATTTATTGTCCACAAGGTTTGAAAAAAAAATAATTTGCTAAAGTACAAAAGTCGGCAAAAAAAGATGTAGGGCATTTGGGTATTTCAAGCCCGTTTTGTAATCGTGCATGGACTAGCACGCTTTTTGGATGAAAAAACACTTGTAGATATTATGAAAGCGTTCATAATAATGCATAAAATGGTCATTGAGGATAAAAGAGATATTGGTAACAATGACTTTAATTGAAATGATGCAAATCCGCCTATAAAATTGTCGCATGCGTATACACCAGAATTAGAAGACTTCATGCAAATCCATTGTCAAATCAGAGACAGTGCAATTCATTTTCAATTGCAGTCAGATCTTATTGAACATTTATGGGAATGATATGTCGAAGAATAGTTTTCTTAATTTCAATTTCAAGTTATATTTTCAATTTTAATTTCAATTTCAAGTTGTATTTCCAATGTCACAAGTACTTTCATAACAATCAAACTTAATACATAGTTTTTCATAAATAATAGCAACATAATAAATAATGACTAAAAATTTAAAAATAATAGCAACATAATAAATACCGACTAAAAATTAAAACCCCACTTTTTTATAATCTCTATCTTCAGGTTATTCTAATATGTTGTAGAAATTGAGTTCATACCAGTAGTGTCAGTTTCCATGATTTTCATTTCATTCTACCTTTCAATTTTTTGCACCTGTCTTTCTTCAATTTCTGACTATCTACGTTGTTGCTCAAATGTTGTCTCCTGTTGAGTATAAATTTTGTTGTTTCACTTATATTCTTTGATTTCAGTGGTGATGATCTAGTGATTCTTCAGCACCGGTTTACTTCTCTTTGTTTTTAAGTTGTTTCTTCGAAACCTTTCGGCCCAATGGCCTATCGAAGTTGGAAGTGAACGAGGGTTCAGTGTCATCCCCTAAATATGGAGTTGAATAACAAGATTCAACATGATTTGATCCAACAGGACTACTACTTGAATGTGTTTTTACTCTCTTATTGCTGGTTAGATTATCAGTTCATTTTTACTCCATTTTCAATATATTCCAACAATGCTCGTATTGAAATAGTCTTCCAATAATGTTAACAAACATTTCTTTTGCTTTATCAACCTGAAAAATATATGAAATCATTCAGTCAATAGTTCAAATATCAAATCATAGTAGTGTCTATCGAAAAAAGTACAATCATTACATTATTTTGCTTGGTGTGTCAATTTGTCGCAGTCTTTCAATTTGACTATAAAAACCGACAAATTTGTCGCATTTTGCATTTATATCAATTCAACGGCTTTTATTAGAAGCTTGCGAACGCTCTTCTTGATTGTCTTCGTAAAATTCTAAGTATTTCAATATTCTATGCCAGAAAACACCACCTTATTGTTTATTCATAGTAATTGCATCTTTACTCGTGTTAAGTCACACAGACACAATTTATTTATCTTATTCTTGAGAGAAGTTCCTTATCCTTTGCGATTTTCTCACTCTTGAAACGACTTCATTTTGTACTGACACAAATACTGTGAGATTGGTCTGCATAGCATCATCATATAAATCAGTGTCATTCATAAGCAAATCAGTGAAAGAACTGTCAAATTACGAATCCATCTACAAAAAAAAATTATAATCAATTTAAAAAATGAGCATAAAATAATCAATTAAAAAATAAATAAAATCACCCTTAATTAAAACAAATTATAAATTAAAAAATTAGCTAAATAAATAAATTCACTCTAAATTAACAAAAATATATAAATAAATAAATAATCTAAAATTAAAACATTTATTTTAAATTAAAATCAATTATATATATATATATATAGCCAAAGAAGGCACAAAGAGTTTCTCTTGATTTCTTCCACTTTCCCTCTGCATCTGCGTCTGAGTGTACACCACCTCCTCCTTCCCCTTCCCCTCTATGCCTTCTTCCCCTTTCCCTCTCTTTGTGCCTCCTTCTTCAAATCTACCATCACCAACCACAAGGTTTGAAGAAAAATTTGGAGCAAGGAACAAAAATTTACAATGATTTTTCACGACAAGGTTTTTCGGCCTTTGATAAATTTTCTCTTTCAAAATCTCTATATTTATAAATTTTTTTGGATGAATAGAATCCTTGTGAGTTGAACAATAGAATTTGAAAAGTTAAAACGGCTCTTTGCAACCTCGCCCTTTCTCTCTCAAGAGTTTGAAAAATTGTCACCCTAAGAGCATTGCTGTCATTTTTTAACCCATAATGCCCCCCGTTGGAGTAAAAAAAATTTGAATTTAGAGTGACATTTTGACAATTACAGAGTTGTCATCCCTGATGCCACTCCTCCTTAGAGTTGCTATGAGGTTTTAAAAACGTCCAATCATTTAAGAATCTAACACCCATAATCTGAAACTCGTATTTTTTTATGCGTAATTTACTTAGACACTTCAAAGTAAAAAAAGAATAGCGATTTGAGAGAGAGGAGATTTTTTGTTAAAAAATTGGTAGATTAAAATGTGTCCCAACACATGTGTGCGTTACATCTTGCTGTCCAAAAACCCTGAAAACCGCTCATATATGCATTTTAAAAATATTTATAGGATTAAAAAACGGATTTCAAAAATAACTTTCTAGTTCAAAATGTATCTAAGAAATTTAAACACCCCCTAACATGAATCCATGCTGTCTTTTTTTACTATAATCTTTATTGTTGTTCCGTTTATGTACTTATTTAACTTTGTTAATCTAGTATGAGACCTCCACCCCTTCCTTTAGTATGAAAAAATTTGGAAAAAACAAGGATAACTGACCTTTAGGAAATATGAAAAGTGTTGAATTTGAAACCTCTGAACAAGTTTCAGAACACATTTTCAAGAAAAAACATAAGAAACAAAACAACACAAGAACTAGATTAGCAGTTTGCATAATAGCGATTAAACCGCTATTTGAAGCTCGTCGCCCCTCCCTACAAAGTGACTGACAAAAAAAAAACAAAAAAAAAAAGGCCACAAGAACAAAAAGGCTAATATAATGGCTCATGAAAATGGTTAAAAAAAACCCTCGAGTTTGATACACAAACAGTGTGTGATAAATGCATCTTCCAACCGAAAGAGCTGTTTATAGGTGGTTTATAACTTACGTGGCCCTCGAGGAGTTCGTTTATTCTCTCTGACTGAGGTTCCAAATATCTATCAACTCGAGAGTTAAAGCTATAACAAAAGTATGCCACAAGGACATAGAAGATGACAGCAATTGGAATCATAACTTAGCATGTTCTTGAGAAGTAATTCTAAACTTCGATACAACAAGACTCATAAATCTCAGCAGTCTCCACCTAATTCAGCAGTAGGGCATAAATATGAAACCTACTGGTCCTTGTACCTTTTCTCCACTTCCTCCATGCTTTGGATATCCTTATAATACTTGCAGATACGGTAAATGCACCTGCACCCACATTCAAGAGCACAAACTTTACTTACAGGTAACAAGTATTAAGAGCAGAGTTGAAGACTTAACATATGAATACAAGGTTGCCCATATACGAGTCATGATTACCAATACAAAAGGCATGCTGCAGCACACAAAATCACATTCCTTTGAGCCTTGTAAATCTGCACATTACACACAACAGAATGATCAACAATAAAATGCTAAATTTAAAATACAGGTAGTTTACATCCTTATGAGAGAGAGTACGAGAGATGGAGAAAGAAAGCGTGGGTGGTGGTGGTTTGCACTTCACGTTCAGACAGCTCTACTGTTAGGACAAACAAAAAGCAATTAGGAGGGAGGTTGACAGTCAACAACCTCCCTAAACAGTCATCAACCTAGCAAAGTGGGCTTGATGCCAATACTCTTGACCCAAACCACATAGAGCAAGACAAAATGATAAAAAAACTCGACTCCCGAAACAACATAATCGGTAGATGAAGAAGGCCAACATATGTGGGCCAAAAAAGTATCTAGGAGTAATGTTACTTTAAAAAATGAGGTCATCTGCTAGATTTTCAATCACATAATTCTGAAATTTTTTAGTATCCAATAATTCCCTCATACAAAAAGATTGACTTCATTGGAAAAAGAGCATTTGCTTGTCACTTTAATGAGCTCCACACACATTTCCAATCTCAAAAGGCTCATTTACTATTGTAATCAAGTTTTTGACAAGCGAAAAATTGAAAGACTACTTGATCCACCAACCGGTCCCCTCGATACAGACACAACGAAGATGATTAGAGCCGAAAGCATTGAATCCTTCATCAACAAAAAGACCCCCATGTTGTTCAATCCTATTCAACAAAAATTTACGGTTTAATTTTCACCCCTTAATCGATCAAATATATTTGAAATTTTCTTCAATAGGTGGGAACTGATTTTGTTCCCAAGTATTTTGATGGTAAGCATGATCATAGTTGTCAAATCGCGTATCAGAAGACGTATTGTTTTTTCAGAAATAGTGTATCGTATCGTATCGTGTATCATAAGATACGCGCAATTTTAATTTTTTAATAATTATTAATAAAATATATATATATATATACACCTTTGTACAAAAGTCATAGATTCATAACAACATAACATTTCATTAATATTCCACCAACTATTCAAGTTTCCAATATTGTTCAACAATTTCAAAATGCAAAAACCTCTAATTTCAACTTCTTAATATTAATCAGGAATTTTGAATTTAATTGAACAACATTAACAACAAACTTTATTTTTTTTTTAAACCATACCACTGAAACGACGTCGTTTCACTGACTAGTGAATTAAAAATAAGTCTTAGGGTAAAACAATGTTATTTCAACCCCAAAAAATAAATAAATAAATAAAATAAAATAATAGAATCGTCACGTATCATACGTATCGTATTGTATCGTATATCATACGATACGGTACAAAAACGATACAGAGATACAATACGCATATCGTTTTTCTAATGTGTCGTGACGTATCACATGATATGTATCGCGTATCGTACGATACTAAAAACTGCATGATAATGCTCAAGAAAATTTACTAGTTCTTTCCTATCTTTGCCATGTGTCATGTTACGCTTTTTTTTCTTTATGCTTTTCCTATTATGATATTTAGCTGCTGAGAACATAACGGATGGGAGATAAATTGAAGATGTTTTGTCGTAGGCCAACCACATCCCTATTGGCTTCCACTAAATGGCAATGTATACTTACAACCTTTTGTTAGAAATTTTAATCCGTCAGGTGCAAAATATATTTTGACTAGGATTTTAGGGTATTCTATAAAGCCAACTAACTAACTAATATAAATTATGAAATAGTTATCTTGAGCCATGCCTTTGATTTGATGACGATTCTTTTCACAATATTGCGCCTTGTCTAATGCGTTGTTATGCATAGTTTCAAGCCTTCTATGCCTATATAACAGTATAGTGTATGTGTGGCCTTTACCTTCTCTCTCCTCACTCAACTTATGCTTGGCCTAGCAATTGAATACTAAAGCCTTTGTTTTCATGAGGACAAATAATACTAAGTCTTAGGATCTCTACTCATCTATCCCCCCCACACCCCCAACAATAGGAATTCACTGGGTGTTATCTTCAGCGGAGACAAGGACCTAGATCACTTAATACAGCCACATGAATTCCTTCCACCAAGGAGTTCGATATACTATATCACTCCATGTCTTTCTCCAATTAGACATAATAATCAAATTCTTTTATGATATTTTCTACAAGGAATTTGGGAAGCCAATGATTATTTACAATGTATCAACCTGTTCATGTAAATAGTAAATTATGGATACAAAGACCAAGTGAGAATAAACGAAGTACATGTATGGACCAAAAGATATAACCATGAAAATACATGTTCATGAATCAAGGGAATGCAAACCAAAAATAAATGGTCATTGCCTTATCAAATTAGAAGCCTAATGTGATCACTAAGGCCACATATCAATTCCAACACTTTCTTCATAGTTTACTATATTGAAATTGTTTTGAACAGATTATATCATGTTCTCCTCTCCTCTTGAATTGGGTGATCGAGTTTTGAGATTATGTAGTAGTTATAGTTGTTTGTGGCGATGATAAGATATTATGTTGTTTATTAGTTCTCATTGGTTACCTGTTTTCCTCTATTTCGAGTTTCAGGAAATTAGTATCACCTGCAGAGTAGTTTCAGCTATAGTGAACTGCTAAATATAATCCGTTCAAAAAAAAAAAAAAAAGAAGAAGCAGAACTGCTAAACATATATGATCATGGTGATTTGTCCAAAGATCTGTCATAAGCCTAAAATTATTCCTTGATAAATACTTTGGAAAATAAAGAAACCAAGGAAAGATGTGTGATGATTGCAAATTATTGGGCTTTGTATCAGTTTTCTGCTTGATCTGGGTAGAATCCACAGATTATGAACTCTTCAACTTTCTTGCATGGTAAAGAATCAATGGACTCAAATTTCAAGCATCATCATCATCATCTGCAGCAACAGCAAAAATATGATACTTGGTTTAATGAACTAAAGATCTGCTCCTAATTCATACTTTGCAAACTTTCTGATTAGTGGAGGCTATGGAGAAGAAGATTTGAAGTAGTCTCTGAATCCTTAGGTAGGAGTTCCAAACGGAGCAAAATCTAAAAATATTTATATTTGATGCTGGCTCAGAAGACTTGAAACTCTCAAAATTAGCATGACATCACACAAACTCTTTGAAAATGAATTGGCCAACCGAAATTTGTAGCACAAAGGAAGCATGAAGAAGAGCTTCAAATCATCATAGTAAGAGCAAAAGCCACAATAATAGCAGCAACAGGAGAACAAAACATATGCTTTGAGTACTAAAATGATTTATAAGAGCCAATCTCTAGTGCATCATAACTCGAGGTAATCAAATATGGCGATAGATAACTCGCATTGACTGGTGAGTATGCCGGCATTGCTCGTTTGCCTCATATCAAGACCGGCAGTGGAAATAACTCGAATCTTGTTAGTCATAGCAGCTCACGTGCGGAATATTCTGCCACGTTAATGTCGAAAATGGTAACTTTTTATAGCCGCTTCAATTACATATTTCTTTTGGGTTCTAATATTTTCATCTAAGCTTTGTAGAGCTTTGAAATTTTTACGCATAGTTAGAATCAATTTCTGATGAATTGCTGCATTGCCTAATATGAGAGGGAAAGGTCTAGTAATAACCCCTTTGTATTTTCTTTTTGCTATATGTATTTCTTTGATTAAAAAATAACTTCACTTCATGATGAAATGACATATAAGGTTAATATTGTTACTTGAAGAATAGTAGTGGATCTGACTGTTAGAGAGTTTAGTTTATTAGGGATAGTTTAGTCATTTTCTTTGTTTTATGTTGCCCTACCATATAAGGGCTTCATGGGCTGAGTTTTGTGTTTGTCGACCGGGTTGATTTTTGTGTTTAGGATTTTAACGCTCTGATACCAAAACAAAGGGAAGCGAAGAGAGAAAAGAATGAAAATATATTAGGGCTATAATGATCTGTTAGAGGGTTAACCCGAGATACAAAATAGAAGCCCTTATATAGTAAGGCAACATAAAATAAAGAAAATGACTAAACTATCCTTAATATGCTAAACTCTCTAACAGTGACAACAAGAAGCATAAATAATTAACTATTCATGTAAACATAGGTGACAAAGTAAGTTGCCGGAAATTTGATTTTCAATTGGACCAACTTAGGTAACAACTAACAAGATAAAATCAAACAGAGTAAGATCCTAAATGTGCATAGGTTCTTGGCATTTGAGTGATTCCACTACTTTCCAGTTATGACTTGAAATGTGGAATGGTATTAATTTTAGGTAAGCTCAATGTATACCCAAACCAAATCAACCCAAACGGATGTCCCAATCATCTATATGACTCTGTTTTCACCTTTCCTTTCAATCATTAGCTATTCGCTCATTTAATCTCGATGTATATGGTAACTAATATCAGAAACACCCTCCCCAAGCACAAATTTTCAGAAGTATTGCACCCGCATGGCATGTGTCATAAGTTGTAGTTTCAATTAAACGCCAAGAATTACTTCAAAAAACCCAAAAAACGCAATTCTATTCATGTAATTTGCACATTAAATCATAAAATTCCTAAGTGTCGCCAAACATCGAAAACACACATATCCAGACCACAAAATAATCACACAGATAGAGTTAATCTAAGAATTATGCTACCAGATATGAAAAATTACCGATTTCTCGTAGCGATCCCTTTCAGCTGCAGTGCAGATCTCGCCAGTACACATCAAGCGGTGCTCATTTTTCCAATATATATCTAAACCGAAAAATAAAAACAGCATAGACAATTCAAAACCCTAAATCAAACACCATACTATTAAAAAGAAATTATACACATACCTAGGAGTTGGAAGGCAGAGAAAGGAACAATGAACATGGAGGGTTGGAGGATGAGAGAGATTAGAGAGACGAGACGGGACTTGATGGCCTTTGGTGAAGGTAGGGTGAGAAGAACAGCCAGGCCCGCCTCGGCTGCAACAACGTACGCCAGAATCATCCACTGCAACGCCATTTTTTGCCTCAGAAGTTTCTTTCTCTCTTTCTTTCTTTTGTTTCTGAATGTGTTCTTTGCTTAGTAAGGAAGGTTGAGACCTGGAAGTTCTTCGCTGTGTGAATATTTTTTTTTTTTTTATTTTTCTTGACCCCTGACATTTGATAAAATAACACGACTGTCCCTTAACATTTCTAAAAAGAAAAATTGGAAATCGATACAAAAATTTAGAGTTAAACTACATTAGTAAAATTTATTTAGCCTTAAATACATTTTTTTTGAAAAAAAGACTAAAAAATCATTCATTATTTTACTACTCTCTCTCTCCGTTACTCTCTTTTCTATTTTATCTCTATCCGTTACTCTCTCTATTTATCTCATATTCTCTCATGATTGATAATTTATTTTATTTTATAATATTTAAAGATTTGATTTTATTTTTCATCATCTCTTCCCTATTTTTTCTCTCTCACTCTCTCTCCCCTTTTTTCTCTAACCGTTACTCTTTCTCTCATTTTTCTCTCTTTCTACAATTACCTTATAATATACAAAATAATTACAAATGTATTCTAATAAATTAAACAGTTACACTAAATAATTAAACGAATTTACAACACCAACCTAATTTATCATTCAACAGTTTATATAAACCAAAGAATCACACTATTTAATATTACGACATGACTATATCAATTATATACACCAAATTGAGTTTATCATTACACTAAATTTGGTGTATAGAATTTGTGTAACTATGTCGTGATATTAAATGGTATAACTCCTTAGTTTATGTAAACTACTGAATGACAATTTGGGTTGATATTATAATTTTGTATAATTATTTAGTATAACTATTTGATTTATCAAAATACATGTGTAATTGCTTCGTATATTATATGACAATTGTAATTGATTGGTGTAACTAATTAGTATAATTGTGTGTATTGCATCGTTGATATAAAGAGAGAGAGAGTAACAGTGGGAGAAAATAAGGGGAAAAAGAGTGTAAGGGAGAGAAAATAGGGGGGAGAGAGATAAAAAAATCAAATAAATCTTTACATATTTGAAAAAAAAATTCAATTGGAGATAGAGAAATATAGGGGACAAAAAAATGAGAGAACAATGGAGAGATAGAGACTGAAAAATAAGAATTATGCATAATTTAATGCAAGGTAAGTAAGTAAAAAAATTCAAATGTCATTTGAATTTTGTACCTAATTATAAGATGTTTTATTAAAATTAAACTTAACTGAGTAAAATATTTATTCATACACTTCCTTTCAATTAAATTTAAAAAAATGTACACACACCCAAAAAAACCATTTCTAAAATGATATAACAACCTTAATCCCTTGGGGTGTCCATGGGTTGGGTTAACCCATGAGACATATTACCCCGCCCAAAAAATAGGCTTAAAAATTGATAGGCCTGATAGTTGATCAGCCCAAACTCAAGCCCAATATCCTTCAAGAGAGGACTTCAGTTTTCCTCAAACCCATTACCCGACCTAATACCTAGCTATTTAACCCAACAGCAAAAACCCGTTAAAACCTGGCCCACTCGCCTAGTTTGTTTGAAAAAAAAATTGACTATCAAAAGTTAGATGGCATATTCTTCTAAAAAAATATATATTTACTTAAATACTGAGTTGAGTAATCTAGGGTGTTATTCATTATTTATACTACTTATAAATGTCAGCATTTGTAAAAAAAATTAAATTTTTTATTTTATCCCTAATTATTATAATAAAATTTATTATACCTACCTATATACTTTTATCTAATTTATGTATCTTACATCAATTTGACTTTCAACTTGTTGTAGACTTTTAATGACTTATAAATTCTTTTGAACTCATTTATTAGTATTTCAGTTACTTATAATTATTTATATTTATATGAAAAAGTAAAATTCTATATATTTTAAATTATTATACACATATAGGTCCACTAAATATTATATTTTATTTTTTGATATGTAATAATATAATAATATTATATATGATCTAATTAATCTATTTAAAAAAATAAAAATTAATAATTGTATAATATAATTAGATGTGTAAATGCCTAAAAATGTATAAGTGATATATAAATAAATGAAAATTTAGGTATTTAAAAATTTATAGAATATATCAGTAACTCATATATTTTATAAAAATAATGTTATTTAAATTTATCTAAGTGCAACACACGGCGTACATTGCTAGTTTACTTAAATGCTAAATAACTCATCTCAAATAAAATTATGCATTATTTACATTTTGTCTATATTGACTTTACTTTTAATTCAAAAATATAATTAATAAAAATACTAATTTAAATTTTTTTTAAATAAAGATGTATGTGTGTATATATATATACTACTAATAAAAATACACTATCAAGAAAAACTTTTGATTGACAATTTTAACCCTAAAATAATATATAAAGACAGTACTAGCCTTATTTAATTTGGAACTCATATTAATAAGACTTGATTGATGTTAAACTTTAATTAATATTAATAAAAATTTATTAATATTACATATATCCAAGCATTTTCATATTCTTTCTTCTAAAAGACAAAAATTAATTGTTAAAATAATTAAATTTACTTTTATTTATGTCTATCTATTTTCATTAGTTGATAACAAGTTCTAAATTTTCAAATAAAATTGAATAAATACACTAGAGTCTTACTTAATATAAGATTTATTTTAATATAATTTGGATAAGATTATCAAACCCTAACTTTTTCATTTTCTTCTCTTTTATATTTTAGTTTTAATAAATCCTCTTTAGTTATGTTTATTGACAATACTAAAAATCATTTTATTTGTATCAATTAACAATGCTACGAATATGTTTAGTCTCACATTAAATTACTTATCACAACTTAACTTTTTAAATTTGCTCAACTAATTGTTTATAATTAAAAGACTATCATAATTAAAAATAGTTCATTTCTATATTTTTCATAATTTAATAAGTATCTACGATACTTTTTACTATAAAATATATTTGTGCTATTACTATGATATTGCAAATAAAGTTAATCTAAATAATTAACTTCACGTGAAAAGTTTTAAATTTTAAGGGCACAGGTTTAGAAGAAGGTAATTCATCAAAACTTAAGAGAAAACAAAACAATAAAAACTAATATTCGTTCTGCAAATATACAGTGTTATGTCCATTACAAATTATAAAAATTATATAATATGAATATTTAAAAGGTTAGATTTATAAGTAGGTATTTACTATTATATTTATTTAATTATTTCAAAAGCAAAACTATAACTCAAAAAGTCCATGTGCACGTCTGCACGAATTTTAAATACCATATCATTCTTCTATAGTTAAATATCAAAATTACTATCATATCCTTAGTGTTTAAATCTCTACATTACCCTTAACATCTATTTTAATTCTCTATTCATTATGTATAAATATCAATATCTATGAAATTTTTTAATTAACTATATTACCTTTAAAAACAAGCATTGATTAGAATATTAACAATTATTATTATTATTTTATTCAATGAATTATAAGTTGAAACCTAGTTAAATGAATTTCAAAATGAATTATTTTTTTCATGTTTTTCTTATAGTTAGAACAACGAATCATTAGGAACAGATAAAATTTTTCAAATTCTATATAATACGAGCGATAAAAACATAATTTTTTATAAATTTGAGATGATATTTAATTTAGGTACACATATACCTAAATTTTTTTATTAATTTTTATACACAAAAATTATTTACATGCAATGCATGTAGTGCATTACTAGTATATATATATATAAAAGGCCCGCCTAGCAAACCTGTTTAATGAGTGAAGAGTTGGGTTGCAGGTAGCCTGCTCCTACCTGAAGCTCAGTCTAACGTACTCAATAACTCATTCGGGTGAGAGCTTGGACTTACCCTACGTAGATCTAGCCCAAAAAAAAAAATCACAGGCCTTGCCTCGGCCCGTCCATGAACACCCTTATTAATCCACTTTAAAATCTAGACTATCTTAAAAAGTTTGAATAAAAAAAAATTTTATGCTCCATTTAACCTGTCAAAATGAATGGTAAAAATAAAATCCTTAAAGTTTTAATTGAGGTTTAATTTAGTTCTTACATTCAAAATCATTCATTTATTACAATAGAATGACCGTTTGAGATTAACACGTGACTTCACTAAAAAGATATATTTGTTTGGTGAGGAATCTTTTATGCATAGGCTAAAATTTTTTACTTTGTTTCACTGGAATTTGGGAAAAAGAAAATAACAAACCCAGAAAAAAAAAAAAGAAAAAAAAGATAAAGAGTAAGAATTTGAGAGACATTGTGAGTCAAAGAAAAACCCATGGTCTAAATGCTCAAACTCAACCTCAATCCCATAATCATAACTCATACAAACAAAGACTAAGAGAGACAAACTTACCAACCCATTCACCCCAATCCTCACAACCACATAAAGTCGCCTCCACCTTTACCTTCCCTTTACAATAGCCACATCACTACCACCACACATGCATTCATTGGTGACGCTTATGGACTATGATAAATGTCACTTTATTATTACGATTCACCTTTGTTTGTCAACTAAAAATGGAAGAAATGATTGTTCAACATTTAGCCAGTGAGGTGGGAAGGATGTCATTTTAACACTTAATGTGCCTTATTGGATAAAAGTAGTATAAAAGCCTACTTGGGATGAATTTTCCCTAGTCGATTATATTGTTCTTCTTTTCACGTCCAATGGTTTCCATTAGAAGTTATTTGGGTACGAAGTTAAGGCCGAGTTAAAGTTATAAAGCTCAATTTTCGTTAAACCAGTGTCTTAACTTGAAAGATGTGACAAATACTGAGGGTTATTTTGTTGTAGAGGATGAAATACTATAATCAGTGCGTGGAGAATGAAATTTCACATAAAAAATACGTATCACTTTTATGAATACGAAAGAAGACACGAGGGAGGGAGTGGGGAAAGGGAAGGGGTGGCAAATGGGTAGGTAGGGGAGAATATTGGTTTTTGCCTCCAATACAACCTACATCAATTCTTACATCCAACTAGGTGGGGGTATTACACAACTGAGATTATAGTAAAGCAAATTCACAAGCCTACCCAGTACAAGTCATCGCAAGTCTCTTAAGACAGATTTGGTGAATTTTGTTCTGAAAAAGACTCACCGACAACTTGATCACTTCACATAATCAAACACTTGATAGTAACTCAACACTCCCACTAGAGCTTTGTCTTTTATATAAAACGTGCATATGAATGGTCAATAAAAATATATTTATTGGTGTTACAATTAGTAATGTATCCTTAAATTCCAATATACATACATAAATATATGGTAATGCTATTGGTGATGTAGTCCGGAAGGGGAAGCTAGTGGTGGTGGTGGAGGGGTGGCAATGGTGGTTGTGTTGCGGTGAAGATGGTAAGTGGTGTTGGTGGTGACAATGACAAAGGTGGCGCAATGTCCTCTTTTGGCGACATTTTTTCTTGTAGTGGGAGGTTATGGTGGTGGTGCTATTGATGGTGGTAATGATAGAAGGGTTAATGATGGTGGTTGCGATTATTGTAGTAAGGTGGCGGTGGTGTTAGTGGTAGCATCAATTGTGACAATGATGATGGGAACGACGATGGTAGTAATGTAATAGTGAGGCAATGGTGGTAGTGACAATGACGATGTAGGTGGTGTTGGTGGCAGGGCGATAATAGTGATAATGGTGGTAGAAATGGTGGACGTAAAATGAAAAGTTATTTGTACAAAAACCGTTTTTAAATAAGTAGAAGCTTCTTTCTTTTTGCTTTCACTTACGAGCTTACTTATGTTGTAACACATTTTAACTTATTTGGGAATAAGTTGTTGTAAACATACTTTTTCACCACTGTAGTTAGCGATCACCTGATTGGGGTAAATATTCAATACAACAGTAATACCATGTGATAACTGATATTGGTATCGTCACACAATTATAAACACACGAAATAAGCCTAGTGAGCTATTAATGGATCATGTCTTGTCGGGTTTCATGTTGTGCCTGAGTTATGTCTTATCAAAATTTGTTGAACTATATTCGGCTCATTTATAATTGTATATAGTTCGGTATGTATCGTTTTGAATCCTTACCATGTATAAGTCTTATTTAGTAGTTTGATGTTGTATTTAGTTTAGGTTCGTATAAATCCATTTATTTAACATGACTGATCATTTACTACTCAAATTTGTTAAGGCTAAACCTAAACTCAATAATTCTGAGTTAATTTCGTGCACGTGTCGTGCGTGAGTTGTATATAGAACTGACAAGCTTATTAGTGAAAACACCCTTTCAATAACCACTAAATCCAAAAACATATTGAATTAAGTTGAGTTAATAAAATGTATTTACTATTTGATGATTAATTAGTAAGATCACATATCTTTTTGGTATGGTATCACACTTGCATTGAATTAATGAGTGGGATATTGGCTTATTCTATTACTTAAGAGAGAAGAGGAGTTTAATGTCGTGAAATGTCTATATTACCTCTTAATTACTAATAACCATCAACAATTTTTCATCTTTATTAATCTTTTCGTATTTCTATTATATCTATCTCTCTCTATTTGCCTCTTTTATGATTACGCACATGGATGTCGTGGGTTGGCCCCCTAACTATATATTTGGAGTCTATGTGCAAACAAGAGCAATACAAAAAGAATTGACAACATTTGTTGACTCTCAATATTACTGTCATTAATTTAACTATGAGTCTCAATAATATTAGAATTCATTACCTATTCAATAATTGTGATAGAAGGAGTCAGTAAAATATGTCAATATTTTTAGTCCAAATAATATTACTCATACAAACAATACTATATGGATGTTGTGGGTTAGTACCCTAACTATATAATTGGATGATATATATAAGAGTAATGATATATGAACTTAAAAACTAAATTTAAAAAACTAAATTTGATAGAGTAATGATATGTATCCTAAATTTATAACCCAAATTTGCATTCCAGATTAAGAAGGACTATTGGATCAGTGGATCCTATTTAAAAAAATTGATAGGACCCACTGATCCAATGATTCTCCTTAATTTAGAATACAAATTTGAATTACATAACATTACTCAATTTGATAATCATAACATTGAATAGATAGTGAGTTCCAATAAATATCGGGATCCACAGTAAAATTTATAGTTACAATTATTAAATTTAATTTTTAAATCTAATATATAAGTTCATATAACATTATTCATGTAAAAATAATACTATGACTTTACGAGTCATTTTAAATAAGTAATGTTATGTACATTAAATTTGTACACTAAAAATATGTACTAAATTATTGTCAGTCGTTGATCAGCGGGACCCATTATTATCCAACGAGTGATCAACGGCTGACAATGATTTGGGTACATAGAATTATCCATTTTAAATACGACACTTGGTATTTTTGGTGCCAGTTCGACTCCCCGAGCTTCCTATCTCTTCTCCGTCCGAAGTGGGGTTAGCTATTGGAACCCTAACCAGCTGTTCTTCCCCTCCGTCTGCTGAGCAAGTCCTCTCTCTCTCTCTCTCTCTCTGCAATTAAATTTCTATCGTATCTATCGCAATCCCTGAACCATTAATTTCTAAGATCTGGGTATTATAATTTTATACCTTTTAGCGTTGCATGTTCTTATGTAATATCTGCTTATCGATATAACTTTGGGGTTTATAATTCTATGCATTTTGTTGTTGTAGTTAATCAACATTGTCTTTATAGGTTAAGTGCTCGTATGGTTTTTGTGAGGTTTATTAACAATGTGGAAATGAGTTGGAATTTTTTGGTCATACGATGATATAATGCTAATTGGGCTGTTATAGATATTGTTAGTGATTCGAATTTGGTGGGTTCATCGTTCATTTTCATTTTCATTTTCATTTTCAGATCTGTGTAATGGATGGCAGTGGCAGTCTGAATGTCCGAAATTGGGGTTTTTATGAACCTGCAATTGCCCGTAAAGGCCATTTAGGTCTGCAACTCATGTCAACTGAAACTGAAAAGTCTCTTCTTGGGGGACACAACCACCATTACCACCCCCACCACCCCTCCATTATGGCATCAATGAATGGTGGAGCATATTATCATCATCGGGTTGGTGGGATTTCGGAATCCCCAGTGGCCATGAATTACACGAGGGACGTGTGGATCAATCACAGAGACAAATATCTGAATATGCTACCAGGAAACCACAATCACCCTGATAATGCAGTCTTAGTTGATACTTCTGTAGCCAATCCCGTGCAAATAGTCCAGACACCTAACTTGCCAAAGAACGAAACAATCTCTCAACTGGAGGAGAGTGGTGTTGAAAGGGATATAAGTCCTCCTCTTAAGAAGAGGTCAGGTGGCAAAGCCCAGAAATCCCCGAAAACAAAGAAGGCTAAGAAAGCCCCTGGTGCCCCAAGGGGCCAGTGCAGTCCTTCCACTCAGCGGGCAAGAACTCCCAAGAAATGTGCAGAAGTTGTTATTAATGGAATTGACATGGACATATCAGGAATTGCCCTACCAGTTTGCTCATGCACTGGAACACCTCAGCAATGTTACCGATGGGGCTCTGGTGGGTGGCAGTCCGCATGTTGTACTACCGGTATGTCAATGTATCCCTTGCCTATGAGTACCAAAAGGCGTGGTTCAAGGATTACTGGACGGAAGATGAGTTTGGGAGCCTTCAAGAAGGTCTTGGAGAAACTTACTTCTGAAGGTTATAACTTTACTCACCCAATTGATCTGAAAACTTACTGGGCAAAACACGGTACAAATAAGTTTGTCACAATCAGGTAGGTGTGTGATGGAACAGCTGTAGTCGGACCACAATGTGCGTGCGGTACATTTTCACTGTACATACAGGCATTTGGCTTGAAGCAGAACCTTCTCAGGTAGTTCTTAACCAGTGGAATTTCTGAGTTGCTTCACTGGTCTTTAACTTCTGCCCGTTGAGCTCTCCGGATATGGCATTATGTTTATCTTTTGCAGTTGAAAGAAACCTTGATCTTGTCATTCATGCCAGGATGAGGGAATTATTGGATGAGATTCATTTGTTGTATCCTTGTGGCATGTTTTTTCTTTGAGACTCTTTAACTGATTTTCACAAACTGCTTTAAGCTCTCTTTTTCATATTCCTTCCCCCCTCCCCACCCATTTCATTTACTTCCAATACATGGCAATGTTGACATTTCTGTATTGCTTTGTCTGTGCACTTATAGTAATCAAAATCTACCGAATCACTCATGTTATGATCTCCTACATACTAGGTCACTCCATTATGTCACCTGGCATATGTTCTTCACGTAGCAGTCAGATACTTTCACATATTATGGGTAATATAGGTGACATCTCTACTTTCCCCGCCTTCCCCTTGGGGGAATTCTTTAGAATTACCATTGCTTAGATTTCAATTCACCTCTAACCATCACATGAAATGTGAATAACCCATCCTCCTCTCTTTGAAAGAAGAAGGGCACTTTCTGTCATTGTGCGAAACAACTTTTTCCCTCTCCATGTTTACCTAATCTTTAAAGTCAATAATAATGTATATATAATGAATTACTGAACTCGATGACTTGGGGCTGTTGCTTTTCAGTTCTGTTGAGGTCTATCATCGATCTGAAATTTAAATTATTGATCGATTGCTTAACAGCCATAACTTGAATATGTTTAGGACCTTGGATGGAAAGATACAATGTGTATATTGATAGTTCTTCTTATGTATCGATTTTTCCAGCAGTTTTACTCTTCCTTGCTAATCTTGACAGAAACTTTCTTGAATAGAGGCATAAGAATCACTATAGGGTGCCAAAGGGGCACAAACCCATGTACAGGGCTGTATACAAGGAAACTCAAAAACCGCACAAGGTTAGTGGATATTTCTACATCCAAACTTCCCACAAGTTTGCTAAACTTTCCGCAAGTATGCTAAACTTTCTACATCCAATCACCCTAATTTTACAACAACCCACCCCCCAAAAAAAAAAAAAAAAAAAAAGAAGCTGATTATATATTTGTTGAATCTTTGTACATCAAAACTTGCCACAGGTGCTTCATTTAATAAATACTGGAAGTAAATTTTCATCAATACATCAGATCCTTATTCTTATTTTCTGTTCTTTTCTCTTTGTTTGGGGATTGTAAGTGTATAGGTCTTCACACTTAATGATTCAAATCTCTGATTTCCATAAACTTTCCGGAATTGTTGAGAGATTAATTTGTATACACCGAATGCCACTTGAATGCATACTAGGTGATGTTAAAGAAGAAAAATAAAGAGAAACTGTATTAGAGAGGATCTTATCCTTAAAACAGTACTAATATAAACATATTTTAAGAAAGAATGGGGAGAGAATTGAAATAGTGAAAATGATGAGTGCCTTTTATTATAAAGCAAGAAATCTTCGCAGACAGTGGGTATGAAAAGGAAAAAAAAAAAGAAATAAGAGAAGGAAGGGTAGAGTTGATGGATGGTCTACCAAAGAAAAAAGACCCAAGGAGCAAGTCATTCGGTTTATTGAAAATAGAACTCAATCATAATTTTGTTAAAAAAAAAAAATAAAGATGATGCTCTCTTTCTTCAAGTGAGAGATCAGATCAAAAAACAATTTCTGCCCAATAGTGTTTTCGGCGAAAGCTGGTCAGCAGTGCGTCAAAGCCTTATTCACTCTTGAAGCCTTCAACAAAAAAATTCATTTGATTCAATAGGGCTCAAGGCAGTATAGTTTGTGTAAAGTGTATTTACGCTTCCCCGAATTTATCCCGGCCTTCCTTTTTATACAGGCTCACAGCTACTTCTACTGTTTAACCTTTCTACCTAGGGTATAATTTAGGGGAATCCATTTGAATTAAATCCGAGTTTGGGAGCTTTCATGAAGGTCTTGGAGTATAATGATTTTTCATTTGTGGGTTAAAATCAACTTAGGGTGATTTGATGATTAAAGGGGTTTTTTTAGTTTTCCCCTACTTTTATGAACATAAATGTTTTCCCAGTCAATATATTCGTTTATTTATCAAAAAAAAAAAAGAAAAATAAAAACATATTTTTAAAAATATTACAATACATAATAAACTCAGGGTGAATGTTTATGATACTGATTGTAATCTCTGGCCTATTAATATTTACATCCAAACATGCAAGTGAATTCCTTGATTTTTAAAAAATGTAGGAAAAATTATAATTTAATACTCCTTTGACTATTGAATTTTTCAAATTATTTAACTAATTAATTTCATACTATTCCAAATAGAATAGAGATTGTCAACGTGTCGACACAAAATAAAAACAATCACATAGTTCGGATGGTCAAATAAAATAATTTTTCGTCAAATTTATAATAAATGTTAATAATTGGGACGAGGTAAAATTAATCACATAATTGAGGATACACATATAAAAACATAATAGTTGATGACATAATGTGAAAAAAAGTCATAATTGAGGGAGGCAAAATGTAATTTTCCCAAAAATTGTCCCTTTTTTTGCGAAGTGCGACACTGAGAAGAAGCTGTCGGCGCTGATTGTCTTCTGCCCGACAAACGGGAAGAATGTACCATCGGCGGTGGAGAACAATCTTCTCAGCAATGACCACGGGTCTGTACTCTCTCTCTCTCTCTCTCTCTCTCTTCATACATACTGTATTTATATGTATATGTGTGTGTGTGTTGTTGGGGGGGGGGGGGGGGCTTACCTATGCATATTTAGATATGAATGGGTGTTTAAGTTGCAATATTCCATGAATTTGAGACGTGTTGAATGCTAATTTTGGTATTATGTTGCGAATTTTACATGGGTATTAGTTGATTTGAAAATTTCAGGTTAATATTAGTTGATTTCTTTACCGTGAAATCACAGATTTATCGGAGCTAGTATGTTCATAGTCACAACCCAATTAGCAGTAGAAACAGAGGCAACACCAGATAAAGAGAAGATGAAAAGGAGAGAGGTAAATCAAAGCATAATTCAATTTTATATACGAATTTTTCATAAGTTGGTTACAATGAGAAAATGAAATAGAAAGTTCTCTCTCTGTTTGATGAATGCAGATACTGGAAAAGAAGAAAGCAATTGGTGAAATTATCAGAGCTGCTTCTGCTTTCGATAATGACCATCTCTCTGCTTTTCCAACCTTTTGCCATTACCATAGAAATGGTAATTTTTCTATTTTATTTTGCCACTGATTATATTATAAATGATGTTTTATTTCTTCCACAAATAACTGCATATGTGTGAATACTTAATTAATAGACTGGGACTTCTATGTTTTTTCTTTGACTTAAATCTTTTCTTGTAGTGCATTTTGATTTTGGAATTCAAAATACACTTCCAAAATTTTCAGATGTACCAACAGAGGTTGAAACTTGAAAAATAATCCAAAACCCACAGAAAAAACTTAAAACAGTAGTTCATGTTACAAAAATATTAGCCAAAATTTCATTACAATGTTTTTTGTTGATTTGATTACTAGGCCTCTCTGTATACTTGAAGTCAGGACGTGGGGATAAGCTCTCATCTCAATTGAAGCAATACATTCAAAATCTCCTTAAGGTATAGAAGAAGTTGACAACCTCGTTAGTCCTCTAACATTACTTAATGGAAACTATGTAATGTGCCTTTTACTTTTGAAAGATCAATATGGAAGGCCCATATGGATCTGACTGGCCAGCAGAAGAAAAGGTGAAGCGCAAGGAAATGGTTGCTCCAGAGGCATGTTATATATTTGCACGTGAGGCTCCTGATGCAGTCACTAATCGGAGTGATGAATTGGTGGAGGGGGAAAGGAATACTCATGTGGTAGATGATGGTGGCCCCATTGTCGGGTTTGTACATTACCGCTTTACCATAGAGGAAGCAATTCCTGTTCTTTATGTGTATGAATTACAGCTAGAGCCTCGTGTCCAAGGAAAAGGACTAGGAAAATTTTTAATGCAACTGATGGAACTTATTGCTTGCAAGGTGATAAACTCTTTTTTTCCCCCTTAATGAAGTCTTATGTCGGAGTTTGTAACTCTGATATACATTTTTATGGCCATAAAATTTTCTTCCAAATCAGCATGTCAACTGACTTAGTACATTGTCACAGTTTTATTTGCAGAAGTTTGCACATGACATGAGTGATTTTAATTTCTTAAATGAGTGTATGAGCATGTTATTTAAGAGCTAAATTAATTGTTCCATTATTTTATAGAGCTGCATGGGTGCTGTGGTGCTTACTGTGCAAAAAGCAAACTTGTCAGCAATGGATTTTTATAGAAGTAAATTAAGGTAAACTTTGACTTATTGTAGCGTTATGTTCTTCATTCAGTAAATATATTGTATACATAGGTAGGAAATAAATACGAGAAGAGTTTTTATCATCCATATACATTGCCTAATATATATGATCCTCTGCCTCATTTATGCGTTGGTACTGTAACATTTGAATTCCTGGGAGAGATCACGAATCATGGTTTGTGTATATTGGTATGGCACTCAGATATTAGCAAGGTGTCATAAGACTCCACATGGAGAGGGCCCAAATTCCAGTGAGGGAAGATGCCCCTTTTCAGGATGTGCTTTTCTAAAGATACATAATTGCTTGTGTTTTGTGCTTTTGCCAGTGCATGGGTAAATATGTATGAACAAAAATGGTTTGCTAGTATGGCCAAGTCAACGGGTTACCATATTGGATCAGTGCAAGCGTATACTTGTTAGCTGATGCATCATGCATTATGCAGTTTGGGACAAGAGGAACATACTAAGGTAATAATGGTCCCCCTAAAAAGTAATTTTATGTTCACATATATCATGTCAATACGAGAGGACGTATATTTTGGTGTTGAAAGCAATGTCAGGCAGCTTGACTCCGCGTGTCTTGCTGTGGACAAGTATTTAGGGGGAAAGTTTCGTACATTTAATAGAGCTTGGTGTTACCTCATCTGAATCTAAGACATAGATATGTCAATGTAAGCCATGATTTTTGTCCTTGTTAATACTTAGATTTTAGTGACCCAACCCATTGTGTAAGTACTTGTTTATTGAGTACCCATCTAATTTCTTCTTGCAAGTGTTTGAGGCATCTTTGCCTTTTCTACCTTTTGAAAATATTATTACCACAATTCCTTAGCAAAATTGCTGCACTCATGCTTCAATGTTAATTTTGGGCAGGTACTCTATATCTGCTGTTTCACCTTCTAGGGTCCATCCATTGGTATGGATTAATGTTCAGGACTTTGCCTACATGGTTCTATTTTACTGTCTTCTTTCATCCTTCCTCTGAAGTGTTTTGACCTAGTAGTTACCAATTTCTTTGCCAGATCGGACTAGAGCAGAAGTATGAGATTCTTTGTAAAGCATTTGATCATGAAGCTAAAGAAGTATTGGAGGTATGTTTAGTCCCACTGTCTATTTTAATTTATGAGATAAAATGTTCAAACTAACTACATAATGCAGGCAATGAGATTGCAAACTTTTACTGCATTATGCTGTCGAGCAGAACTCTTGACCAGCAAATGGAACAACCTTTATACTTTCCAAATTTTACGTCACTACTCTTGACCAATAAATGGAACTTAGATTTGTTTGCTAAATACTGCGTACATAAGCATTTTACTTACAAATACAAACATGCCACTGCTCGCTGAGACTTTGTTATGGCAGGAACTGACGTTTTCATGGCTCTCAATAGAATTTCTTGGACAATGATATAAAATTACTAGTTTTAAGATGTGTGGACTTCTTTTTTGTGACTGATGTTTTAAATCGACAACAATGTAGAATTTTAGAAATGAGAAAGATAAAATGGGAGAGAGGGGGAGAGAGAGCAAAACTCTTTTAATTTCTTTGAGTCTAGTCATTTATGAGGTTAATTCTTTTGTGCGACAATGATACTTGATCATTGGCTCCGTCATGCCATAGAGTCTACTCTTGCTGTGCTTTGAAACAATTCCAATTCAATTAGCTTATTCATACTTGATTCCATTTATCTATGTGGATGACAATAACCAACATGAAGAAAATTGGGCTCACAGCTATCAATGAATTGAACTTTTATGTTACAGAAGTCAATTTACTGTATGTTGCGAGATTATCATATGCATATTTTGGACAACTATTTACAAAATTTTGATTTATAATAGTACAGAAACACAAATTTACTTGAACACAGTTTTGAAGATATTTTCGTGTGTGTGCATTGTTTTAGCAGCGGCGGCTGCCCCGGGGGAGGGGTCTTGGGAAACCACAGATCATATTCATCCTGATGAATTGTGATACTTGATGACTTCTGCTGACATATGTGTGACGTAATCAAATCAGAAAGCATTTTCCTCTGAATGGTTGTGGTGTTATTGGTTACTTTTTTAGTTGTTCCGGTGCATCCAAAAACAAAAAAAAAAAAAAGGAAAGATGGAAAAGTAGGCGTGTTGAGATTAAATGGATGCCAAAAGTGAATCATATAATTGTATTGTGATTCTAGATGTGAAACTCGAGGGGTAGTGACCCATGGTTGTCAACTGCGTTTGAATGTATACATTGCGGGCTATTCTGTGTTGTCAATTTTTGCATTTTATTCTCACGATTATGTTTTCTGATGATTTTTTTTTGTTCTTTTTTATGTTTACTCAAGTAAAGCAGCAGGTGAATTGAAGGAAAATGACTGTTAGGCATTCTGAACGAGAGGTGTTTGAGGTTTGCTATGATTTGACCTTGTCATTATTATTATGTTGAATGATTTCGTGAGCTGCCTGATAAATATTATCTTTTGAACCTGGGTTAACAGCTTGAATTTTAGAATTAGAATTTTTTTATGGTACTTCCTCTGTTGTCCATCACTGTATTGATCTTGGTTGTTTATGTATATTAAGACCTATAATAAACTCGAGAGTGGGCATCAAGGGTCCGAATTGCACAGTCTATCTGCATATGGGATAGGATCGTGTACATCTGACTCTCTCCAGACTCACTAGTGGTGAGAGTTCCATGGACTAGTCCACCGTTTTTTTTGTAAAGCTCTATAATCAACTGACAACCCTCACCTAGTTGGCTAGTCTAGGAATTTGGCTCCATGATGTGCATCTGATCTCTCAGTTTTTGTACTCTAAAAGTTAGTATATTGAACTTTAGTTTTTCTTTTTGTTTTTTTTTATTCTTTGACAATGGAGCTTTGGCATGATAATCTATAAACTTTGCACTAGTGTTGTTGCTATAAGTTGTAATGGTTAGATTAAGGGTCCGTTTGATTAGGAAGAAAAAAATGTTGAAAAATGAAAATGATAGAAAGTGCAGTGAAAGAAAAAAAAATGATAAAAAATATATTTTTATATATGTATTTGGTTAGAATGAAAAATTTACCGAATTTTTTTTAAAAAAATTCATTCTACTGTTTGAAAAAAAGAAAAGTTATAAGAAATTTTTTATAATTGTCTAAACTATTTTTAATTATATTAAATTGGTCTAAAAAAGAAAAAAAATGTAATTATAATTGAAAGGTAAAAAATTTTAAAAAAATGGGTCAAAACTTAATTTTAAGAGAATCACCAATACAAAGGTCTTTTGATCAAATTATCTGATTAATCAAATTCATATCAAAAAATTTAGAATTAATAACCAATAAAATATTTTAAGAAAAAATAAAGGTAAAATACAAAGTTAGTTATAGATCATAACTTTTTTGCATTTTCTTGTATTTTTTACAAAAAAAAAAAGTTTGTTATTTGTGAGAAAGTTTAAGTATGAAATAAAATTATTTTTTTCATTATTTTTTTTTTCGTGCTAATTAAACACATGAAAATCTTAAAAAATTTCTCTTTCTTATGTTTTTTATCATTCTCCCGTTAAACAAACGAACCATAAATGAATTTCATCGAATATAAGTTTGAACAATTTCTGATTTGCACTTGATATTCTGGCCTGGCTTCAATTTCTTGAAGGTGTTCTCTACCAATCAAGGGTCGCTCTGTTTTGTGATTCCCCCAAGTTTCCATATTTTCGTCAAAACTCTAAAAAATTTTGTGAAACCCAAGATGAGAATTTCCTTTTAGTGAATGGTTTCGGTCGCTCCAGAAATAAAGACGTTTTGAAAAATGTTTGGAAAATATTTTGGGAAAGGAATGGAAAAAAATAAATAAATTTAAAAATTTGTTTTCAAACACATTCAAAATGGAACACCTCAAAAACACTCCGAAATATCTTGAAACATTTCTAAACATGGGCGTTTGGGTTAATTTATGCGTATCTCAATTAATCTTTTTTTTGGTCCGATCAAAGACAAGGGTCATCAACGTCGAGACTAGGGTATTCATGAGGGATCAATTCATTCTAACCTGGGCTTAAGGAGTTGTTAAATTTCGAATTCAAGATGTTGGTGTTTATAGCTCGTCTTTATTGCCACTTAAGCTACTCCTTGGAGTTATTAACCCGATTTGACCAAGTAGAATTTAGTTTAGAATAACATGGAATTTTTTTTTTTAGGGCATGGAGATGTTAATTTTAATAATTTGGTTCAAATTGGATCCAAATTTTCTCTATTAGACCATCTTCACTTTTTATTTAAAACTAAACTCAAATTTAAATTTGAGTAAAAAAAGCTCAAAAATTCTCACCAATCATCGACTCAAACTTATACCAGAATAATTGGGAGGTTCATTTCTTGATTCAAATTTAGGGAGAATCAAATCTTTTACTCAATTTTTTTCAGTCAAATTTAGGGAGAACCTACGCAGGATTGTTTGATTTTATGTGTGGCTGCAGATCTAATCTCTTTGCCATGGAAGCTGAAGATCTGCTCATTCCCGTGAAACCAGAGAGCACCATTTCAACAGAAAAAATTTAAAGAATAAGTTTTGGAACAATATGAGAATTTTAAAAAAGATTTGAGTATACATCTGGTTTTACAAAATTAATTTTTTTACTCAAATTTGAATTAACATTGGAGATGCCCTTACACCTTCAGTCAATTCATTTCAGTGATAGATTATTGTGTTAAAATTGGGCCTGATAATTCTAAACATGACTCGTGAAACCAATATGAACCCAACACGGATTTAGCGGGTTTGGGTGTAGTCTTAAAAGGTTTGGGTAATTAACGGTTTAACTCGACAGATCCGTGAAATAAATGAACCGGTTTCGTGTTTAAATCATAAACTTGTTTCAACCCGTTAACAGAGGTAGTATAAATTTTTTTAAAAAAAATTAAGTCTCTTAATCTCTGTCTCATCTCACACCTCCTATCTCTCATTCTTATTCAAATTTAGTAATCATTTAATGTTTACTTTTTATCTTTATTTTTTTGCTTAGCCATAATTCATTCTTATAATAAACACGTTAAACATGTGTAATGTGTAGTGAGTTGATGATTTTTTGTGTGGATTTGAAATACTTTAACTTATTCTCTTATTAAGCGGGTGAAACGCAGTTTGTATCAGGTAACTCGTATAATAAATGATTTGTGTATAGATATGATAGTTAGACTCGTTTATATAAACGAATGGGATATGAATGAAAGATTTTTTGATACAAACCCGTTTCACCCGAGACGAAATCGCTCTATTCGATCTTTTTTATGGTGGCATAAGGATCATGTTTTTTTACAACTGTAAAATGGTATTGGTGGGCCATTAACATATCATTTTCCTCTTTCAAAACCAGCCGGGGGTAGAATAATAATTAACGGAAACCGGGGGGGTATTATTATGATTTATTTACCCTTTTTCTAATAAGTTGGTCCACTTTACCCAATCAAAATACATGGATAAAAGTTTGTCTGTTATTGTTGCTGATAAAGGGTCGTTGTCACGTTAGATTTACTGCAACAGCCCATACGTGATATTTCCATTTCAGAACCCTGGACTAAGATCCGAATATTCCACCGCCAAAGATCCGATGGCATATTCGCACAATCCAATATCTATTCATACATGCTTTCCCCATTTTCCTACTGTCCACTATATCAACTGGATTAAAGGGTATTTTGTTTGGAATTTTTTTTTTTTTTTTTTTGGGGGGGTGGTGGTGGGGGGGTATTTTAAATTATTTAGTGCAAGATCCCCTCATCTATTATATATTTATTGTTGATTATTTAAAATTAAAAGAATTGAGAAATTTTTTTTAAAAAAATGTATTTATTGTGGGTTAGGATTTTTTTTTTTTTGGTGTGTTTTAAATTATTTGGGAAAATATTATTTTAATAGGATTAAACCTAAATTTATAATAAATTTTTGATACTTAAATAATTAAGAAGTATCATAAGAAAATCGAACAAGTAGAATTAACCCTATTTTTCATACTTTAGTGGTTGGGCCCAAACAATATTACAAATACATGAAAGTCATTCTTGAACTATACTTGTATTGACATTAGGACTTGTCCACGTTCACCTCTAATTTCTTCTTGGTGACACCACTAGTTATTTGTCATTTTAAGATGGACTATTTTGTGCTTTCCACAATCCAACTTACTTATAATTCCAGTGTCATTGCACCTCTCCCGCACCCTCTCTCTCTCTCTCTCTCTCTCTCTCTGCCTATCATTTATAAATACCCTTTGTTGACATAGGAGAAGATTGCTGTAAATCATCCAAATCCTTTTGGTTCTCCATCCAGAGAGCCATGGCTGGTTTGGAGAATGAACCCATGGTTCTGTGTCTTCTTCTTCTAATAACCATTAGTTTTGGCTTGTCCTTCATTTGTACAGTTGCAGAGCTTCAAAGATTTGAGCATCCCACAAAAAGTCATGGAACTCTCAGTTTTTTGGTCATTGGTGATTGGGGAAGAAAAGGAGAATTTAACCAATCAGAAGTTGCTCTTCAGGTACCTTATTCCTCCATTCTTTGAACACCCTTTGAAACATTTTTTATGTTTGAATTATGATCTGAATGCACCTTCTTGTTTGATGGTATATACCCACATGGAGGTCAAGAATCAATGATCAATCTACCTTATTTCTTAATTTTTTTCCCCAAATATCATTTTTTTTTTCAATTTATTTATCAACCTACACAATTTGATGAAAATATATTTTATTATAGGATGAAGTATTGGTCCTTATTAAATTAATTTTGTGTCACTTTCATTCCTAATCAAACAGTTCGTTTTGACGGTTTCGATTTTTAAAACGGTATCATTTAAGACCAAACTAACGTCATTTAAAAATTAAATTAACAAAATTAATATTTTAAAGACCAAACTGCATCATTTAAGAACCAAAAATGCAATAAAGCTTGAAATTTTCCGTAGGAGATAGTAAGCAAAAACTCCAGAGGTTGTGCCATGGCCCCCATTGACAATAAAATGCTATATGTTACCCCCAAATCTTTCATAAATATTAAGATAACCCCCTAAATTAGTAGTAAGCTTTAAGTGCTCCCCATTAAATCATTTATTATGTCTTTCTTGTACTCTTAACTGGCCACCCATTTTGAAACTTCTGGCTCTGCAACTATTTTGATTCCTCAAATGACCATGCTTCTTTTATTTTCTTTCTCTTTATTGTCCCATGTTTTCCCCCTACTATGGAAATATAAATGTACGCGGTTGTAATTTCAATCCAACTTACTACCCATAAATTCAAGAGCCTACCCTCGAGAATTTTTCTTTTACCAATTTATATGGACCATTGAATTAGTGGGTTTCGCTTTGTCCGTTCCACTAAATGCCCAAGGAGTGGTTGCCCACCAAAGAAATTTGATAACAGAAGGGAAAATTATACTTCCACCCCTCAACTATGACCCTTTTTTTATATTGCCCCCCTCAATTATTATATTTTTTGCATTGAACATTCAACTAGGTAAGTAGTTTCACATTGCTCCAATTATTGACGTTCACTACAAATATGTCAGAAAGTTGTTTCATTTAGTCCTAAACTATGAGATTTTTTTTCACTCTGCTCAAGAAACATTGATAATTTCCATCCAAAAATATAGTAAACTTTTGCATTTGGGCAACTTGACATAATTCAAGTAGTTGAGGAGCAATATGAAAAATTGATTTCGAGTCTATAGTTAATGGGGTCAAAGTCTAATTTGTCCATAAGAAAATTAGTTCTAAAAACATTTTCACTTATGACATTGGTACATGAGACTGATAAACCAACAAAAAATAGGAACTTTTCTCTTAAGAAAATTGAAATGCCAAACCCAAATTGTTTGCAGATGGGAAGAATTGGAAAGAGATTAGACATAGATTTCACTGTTTCAACTGGTGACAATTTCTATGACAATGGACTGGAGGGAGAGAATGACCCTGCATTTGAGGAGTCATTCACCAAAATCTACACAGCAAAGAGCCTGCAAAAGCGGTGGTACTCTGGCAAGTACTCCACACTTTCAGCTGAATGAAACTAGACTCCCCATATTTATGATAATTTATTGAATTCCCCAATAAATTCTGTTTTCAATATATTTTCCATGCAGTTCTTGGCAACCATGATTACAGAGGTGATGCAGAGGCACAATTGAGCCCTCTTCTTAGGAAAGTTGATAGTAGATGGATTTGCTTGCGATCTTTCCTGGTCAATGCAGGTGAAATTTTTGTTTCTTATGGCCCCTAGACTTTGGTTTTTTGTCTCACTTTACTAGTAATTCTTTTTATTTTTCACTTTAGGACCTCATACTGACACAGATCATGTTAATATAAGAGAGCATTACTATAGTTTAGCATAAAACTCCTCAAACTGTCTTTATGCATCAAAGGCTCAATCATGCAAAAACTTCTCTGTTTTTTTTTTTTTTCGTTTTCAAATCATTGTTTGCGTAACACCTTTTTTTTTTTGTCTTTTGTAGAAATTGCGGAGTTGTTTTTTGTAGATACCACTCCTTTCGTAGAAGAGTACTTCACTGAAAAGGAACATACTTATGATTGGCGAGGCGTCACGCCTCAAAAAACTTACACTGCAGAAGTGTTAAAGGTAAGCCTATTGGTATTTTGTCAAGGAAAATGCTATTTGGACTTGACTTGGGGACTTCATCGATTACAACTGTTAGATTAAAAGCGAACTCCACCTAATATCAAAATTCACAACTAATTTAATAGTTGTATTAAATTAGGTCCTGATTAGATTTCTATAGCATTGCTCACTAATTGCTTATTCATGGTGAAGTGGTGTGGATTTTTAATTGAATAGTGTTTAATGGCCACCAGAACATTTTTTTGTTCTTCCTCCTTCAGTATCTTTTCCTCTTAGTTCAGCCAGCCACTAAAACTAAGTGAAATTGGGTGAACAAGAACCCTAGTCAATTTTTTTTTTTTTTTGCTGATAGAACCCCTAGTCAATTGCATATTAGGCTTATTAGCTAATAGTCAATGCACCATTTGTTTGACTATTCCAATGACTACTTAGGGTTTCAAAGTTCAATTTGAATTCACTAATTTGTGGTCAGCCTTGAACTAAACCCGAAATTTACCCCCAAAAAAAATACGGTGAAAGCCTTGGGTGTGAGTTTTCGGGTTCAAATCCTGTATTCTCATTGGAGGCTGGTGTGTTGTACCACGATCTATGGGTTGATCCTTGGATCTCTCACCTGATCCTTCTGTCGGGCTGCCACCAATTCTACTTTGGTCGATTTTCTTCCTCCTAATAGTGCCTAACATCCAATTTAATGTGAGGTTTCAACATTGACATTGTGTTTGAAAGTGACATTTAATCCTCACATTGCAGGAAATTGAATCAGCATTGAGGCAATCAACGGCGAAATGGAAAATTGTTGTGGGTCACCATGCAATCAGAAGTGTTGGGCACCATGGTGACACTCAGGAACTAATACAGAGGCTTCTTCCAATTCTTAAGGTAATAAAGAAACAAAAAAAGGAGACAAAACGTTTCATTTCTCTATTTTCAAAAACAAAATGCCTCATTTTTCTATCTTCAACCAAACTTATTGTGCTATTCATACTATGAATCTCAGGCCTACAATGTCGATTTTTACATGAATGGGCATGATCATTGCCTTGAACACATTAGTGATAATGAAAGGTATGCAGTAGTAGACCACTTTGTGATTCTGAAAGGTCGGAAGATTTTTATGATGCCACTAATGTATGCATTCCTGTTGCAGCCCCATCCAATTCCTAACCAGTGGCGCGGGCTCAAAGGCATGGAGGGGAGATGTTAAAGAATTAAACAGAGAAGACGTAAAGTTCTTCTATGATGGGCAAGGTTTCATGTCTGTGCAGTTGACACAGACTGAATCAGTGATTGTGTTCTATGATGTTTTTGGTACAGTTTTGCACAGATTGACTACATTCAAGCAGCTTCACTCGGCTATATAGAGACTTAAACCTCATTTAGGATATTGAAAGCTCCCCCCCCCCCACCCTCACCCCACCCCAACACCCATACCAACCAAAAAAAACCAAAGAGGAGAGGAAGATTTTGATTCATGCGGGTCATTGGACTTCAATGTGGGAAGTCCAATCTCTTTTTTTTTTTTTCTCATTGTATTTGTCATCTATGCCATTTTCAAGTTTGATTGTAAATAACTAATGTAAAACAAAAATGTTATTATTCAAGTTGGCACTTGTTGTGTTTCATGAGTCCCAAATAAAGTTTTGAACTTAAGTTTAGTTAGGCCCAAAAAATATTTCGAGGCACATCAACGGGTTGGGTCTTCTCAACACGAACACGACGTAATTCAAAACACGACTAACCCGACACGATCAGGATCCCAAAATTTACACAGGTCGGGTCCCTAACCTCCACATAACCAATTTAAACCTGTAACAACAAAAAAAAAAAGCAACTTAAACCTGTACGATTGTACCAACAAATTTTGAACTGCAGCAAGTTTTGCCAGTGCGAATCTTCAACAAGTCCAATGATCAACCCGTCTTCAATTCAAGTTCTTTGCCATTTAGATTTGTTCATATAATTTTTTCTAATATAAGACCCGCTCTTTCAAAAAAAAAAATTTAAGTTTTAAGCCCCTTCCCCCCTTTCAACCCTCTCCCTCCCCCTCCCCAAAAAATAAATAAATTAAAAAAAAAAAAACTCTTTATAACCCAAATAGATGAGGCTCATAATAACATAGCACAACCAAAATACAATGGACTCACACGACTTAACAAATCATATATTAGAGATAACTCGTGTTATAAATTACAGTGCAATGTAAATGATTTTGAGAAGAATGTTAATGATCGTTGGATGACTTTATTTGAGACCGTCGGATAAAATTCTTAAAACTTACCCAGTTTTATATTATAAATTCCACTATTTTATTTTTTAAAATATTTTGTAGAACATTATTTATAGAGTTATTTATTCCCAAACACTCCCAAATCCTTCAATATAGCAAGGAATAGTCAATTCCTTAAATTCCCCTAACATTATATATACACTAACCACCCTCCACCCTCTTAAATTCCCTATATCCATCATTAGGTTCTTCAACCTATAGTATCATCGGCCTTACAGTTTCAACTTTTCTCTCTTGTTCACGTAAACAATCTCACATCATGTCTAGTAGTACTCCATCAGAGAACATGTTGAGATCGGAAACATCCGATAACGAGTTGTTCTTCGTCCATGAATCTGTTACAATCTGATCTATGACCCTCAAGAATATGATCGAAAATAACTATGTATCAAACACTGTCCTACTACCCAACGTCAACGCCAAAACTATGATCATGGTAATGGAATACCTCAGGAAACGCACGAATTCTCAAGTTTCCAATGATGATCTCAAGAAATTTGATTTTGATTTTATCAATAAACCAATGGAATAATTTTTCGGTCTCGTATTGGCTGCAAATTATTTGGATATTAATAGTTTGCTAGATATAATTTGTTAAAAGACTGCAGAAAATATCAAAGAAGTACAACCCGAGGAGGTTCGTAAAATTTTCAGTATCGAAAACGATTTTACACCTAGAAGGCCAAAGTTCACAAGCAAAATGAGTGGGCGTTTAATTGATTTGATTTGGTGGTATAATGATTATTATCTAATTACAATAATTTATGTCCATACATGAAAAAAATAATAAAGAAATTAGTCATTCTATTTATACTATACATGTTAATAAATAATAATAATTCATTAATTTCATGTAGATTTTAATCCTGTCATCGTGTTCAAAATTGACACGTAACTTATGTTCCAACGTTGTACGCAAACAGACTTTGACGAAAGCAAACACCAACAGCCAAGTCAGCGAACATCAAAGGGCAAATGGCAGTTTGCACCCCCCAAAAGATTAAAAAAAATTCAATTTATACTCTTAAAGTAAAGATAATTTATTTTAAATTATACTCTTAATTAAATTAATTGGTAGTAATTAAGAGTGTTCAAATTTCTGATTGGCCGTAATTTCCTACCCTAACTAACCCTACTCTACCCTACTAAATGGCTAGCCGCAACAATCAGGTAAGAATGCGGAAGAGTTTTTGATCTTCCGATTAAATCGGGTAGGAATGCGGAATAACCATCAATTTTCGCATTCCTACCCTACCCTACTCGCAAAAAATATATTTAATTTTTTAATATTTTTTTTAGTAATTATAAGAGTATTTGTATGATATAATTTATATTATAACATTGTTATTGTTGTGGATGTTTAAGTTGCGAAAATATAAACTTATTTTTTGTGTAGGTTATATGATTTGTGGTGAACTAATGAACTATTTGAACAATTATGATTTTAATGTGTTTCATATGGTTTAAATTTAAAATAATTGTTTGTATTTGTGTAACAATTATGATGAATTGATTTTCATGCTTTCTTATGTTTTATTGTAATTGTTTTAGATTTTAGTGTTATTAATTTATTGTGTTGTTAAATTGGTGCATGTTTTTTAATTGAATAATTAAAATTATCCAAAAATTAGTAGTTATAGAAGTGTTTACCCAATTTTCTACCCGACTTCCTACTCAGGTAGTAATACCACACTTGATCGAGTAGGATAGGCTAAGAAAAAAATTTTCTGCAAAGTATCGAGTAGGAAAACGGAAGACAATATTTCCTACCCGAAGGGTAGGAAAAACACATCTAGTAATAATGTGACCTTAATCATAACAACGTACCGAAAAAGGAGAAAGGTCATAATATAATAAAAGTAATTACATGTGATGATGCACAAATTAGTTTATACACCACCTGTCAATTAAGTAGAATATAAAATGCAGTAAAGTAGAAAGAAAGAGAAAATCAAGTTTATAGTGGTTCGGTCAAGGTGACTTATGTCCACTTGAAACGGCAAGGGTTGCCAAGATTTTATTAACTCTGATGTAGTGGGAGAGCAAAAGGTTACAAACTTTGAGAGAAGATGAGAGAATTATCTCGAAGGAGTCTGATGCCCTCCAATTGTTGGTGGGGCTTACAATTTATATTAGTTTAGTATAGTAATTGAATAGTTAGTCCAGTGGTCATAATGGATTTGGACCGTTTAATAGTCATAACGGATTGTGATGACTTTAACGGTAATTAAATAGTTTGACGACCTCTTCTCTGCTCAACAGATAAGGAAGTTATGATGCTCTCCAAAGGATGAGAGAAAGTTGACTCTCTCCGAGCGGCGAGGATGAGGTTCCTGGATGCTCCCTTACTCTAGGGGTGGAGAGGAAACTCTTGGAAGACCTTACTCTAAGGTGGTAGAGGAGGCTCTTAGATGACCCTTACTACAAAGTGGTAGAAGAGGCTCTTGGATGAGCTCTTAGACGACCCTGCATATTCCTTTACTGATGTAACTCCAAGAACCTGATGAGTTTGATTTGGGTGCAAACTCCTTTTGGCTTGGTTAACTAAACCTCTTGGAGTTGGCCCCTTGAGCTTGTAACATAAGTTAAGCTCTTAGGATTGGGCCATCAAAATGTATTTTACGAGATAGTTTGACGAAAATCGCAATCCCTACCATAAAATGTCTATGGTATTTTTATTGGATGGACAGTGAAATTGGGAGGCACCATCTATATAATAAAGTAACTTATAATTCAAATTTTAAAAGATAAACAAAATAATTTTTATTTTTCGCAATTCAGATCGTTTTAAATTTTAATTTAAAGGTAATCTAACAGCTAATATTAAGACCATAAATTTAATATGAAAATATATGTCTCTAAGGGTGTGTTTAGAGCGATTTTTAAAAATATTTTTAGAAATTATTTCTCATAAGTACTTTAAAAAAATAATATTTGAAACCACTATCTCTACCACCACCACCACTATCATTGCCGCCATCACCATCGTCGTCACCCCTTAACGACCCCCACCCCCACCGTCGCCATCGCCATCACTGCCACCGTCACTGCCACCACCACCACCATTGCTACCGCCCCGCTGCCCCTACCACTATTATCACAGTCATTGTCACCCACCACAACTATTATTGTATCCTACCACCATCATTATCGTCCACCACTTCTCACCCCACTACAATCGATGTTTAAATTCATTTTTTTTTTATATTTGTGATTTGATTTTGAATATAAATACAAATATATTTATTATTTTTTATTTTTTATTACTTTGTGTCTTCAGATACGGACAATAATTAATAATTTGATAAAAGTCATCACATACATCTAATGTGGTTGACAATTTGATAAAATTCATAAGGAACATCATGGCTGGGTCACATTACTACTAATTAATATAATTGGGGGTACAATTTGAAATAATTGATTTTTACTTTGTGGTTGCAAATTCAAATTTTTTTAATCTTTTGGGGTGCAAACTTCTATTTGCCCAATACCCAAAAACCATCAAAACAGCTGACAAACTCTCTTCTCTATCCAAATCCATTTATTTATACCAAAATTTACTACTGAAGTAATATCATATTGCTGCAAAATCAAACACAATCAAATCCAATCGATTCCTCTTGTAGTCTTATTGTCTCCCATCCCAAAGAACGAACACTCCTATAAACCAACTCAATCATATACAGAGATACACACTTATCTGTGTGTGTGTGAGAGGGAGAGTTTGAGATGGCTTCAATTGGGTTGACTCAGATAAAGTGGAGGAACTCGGTGGCCGAGTTTCCGATGACTCGGCCACGGTGGAGGGATTATAATAGCAGAAGTAGAGTTGAATTGAGGGTGGTTGCTTCGGAGACTCAAGTAGAGCCTGATCTGAGTGTGACTGTAAATGGGTTGAAGATGCCGAATCCATTTGTAATTGGGTCGGGTCCTCCGGGGACCAACTATACAGTCATGAAGAGAGCTTTTGATGAAGGCTGGGGCGGTGTTATCGCCAAAACAGTATGTTTTATCATTCATTTCAATTATATATATATATATATATATATATATATATATATATATATATATATCTTCGATACATTGGTATATTGTGATCTGAGCGTGAATAGTTGTAAAACTTTATAGATTTGACCTTTAGACCATAGTGGTGAGAGTTTCATGCATTGAGTTGTCTATATATATATATATGTAAAAGAGCGTACCTGGTGCACAGTTCCTACCATTGCAGGGTCTCGAAGGGTTAGATGTGCGCAATTTTACAAGCAAAGATGTTGTTCCCACGATTCAAACTCATGTCACAATAGAACAATCTTACCGTTGTCTCCATATGGATCTATTTATTTGTTTGTGCATGTATATTTGATACATTGGTAAGATTGGTCTATTGTGATCTTGTAGGTAAAGCTTTATTCGTTTGACTTTCAGAATACTAGTGGTGAGAGTTTCGTGCATTGAGATCTTTGTATTTATATATTGGATTATTTATTTGTTTGTGCATTTAGATTAAGTTCCTGTTATGGAAAGGGCTGGGATGAATTGGTACACACTTACTTATGACATTATTTGAACAAAGTGAATGAACTCAGAGCCATGTATATGCCACTGTGTATATACTACATTCTTTTCAATCCCCAACTGCATCAATTCAACAGGAGCGGTCTAATGCAAATAAAGGATTAGGGTGAAAGTTCTGATGAACCCTTATTTATATTTAGCACAATCAAAACATTAAGATATATTTGGTCAAAAATCCAGGAATGGTTGGTTTGGGGAATTCCAATGACATTGTAGAGAACAAATTTCAGGTCTTAATTAGAGTTGAATGGGGAAAAAAAATTGTTTAGCCTACTGCAAGACTCTTACAATAATTATAGTTGATTTAACAGCCTGAAAAGTTTTTGTGTGCCAGGGCAATTTATTACTTTGAGTGTTTCACCTTGCAGGATGCATCATGACTTGATGCCGAAATTTCGGAATCATTTATTGCATGTTGTGTGGAATCTTGATTGAGCAAGAACATTTTTATCTGTTGTTGCTATTGATATGTGTTCAATATATCCTCTTCACCACGCAGTTGAGATTTTCCTTGAAATGAATTAAACACTTGTGGGTTTTGCTTGCTTATCTTGTCCATGTTGAAAGTTGGGTGTTTGACCATGAATTACTATTTCTAGGTGTCACTTGATGCTGCAAAAGTGATAAACGTAACCCCTCGATATGCTCGACTAAGAGTAGGAGCAAATGGCTCAGCAAAAGGGCAAATTATCGGGTGGGAGAATATTGAACTCATAAGTGATCGGCCTCTTGAAACTATGTTGAAAGAATTTAAACAACTAAAAGATGAGTATCCAGATAGGATACTTATTGCTTCAATCATGGAGGAGTATGACAAGGCTGCCTGGGAGGAACTGATTGACCGAGTAGAGCAAACTGGAATTGTAAGGGGACAGTCTTCCCATTGCTCAAATATCTATCACAATTTTAAGATTAAATGAGATATATTCTCTTTTAGGCACTTTCATAATCCAACTATGTTGATGTTTCTTAGGATGCTATTGAAATCAATTTCTCCTGCCCTCATGGTATGCCAGAGCGGAAAATGGGAGCCGCTGTTGGGCAAGATTGTGCACTGCTGGAGGAAGTATGTGGATGGATTAATGCGAAAGCTACAGTTCCAGTCTGGGCAAAGATGACTCCAAACATTACTGACATCGCACAGGTTTGCTTGTGATTTTTTCTTCATGTCAATGCATGTTCTAGAACTTCTTTTCTACCAGCATTTTAGAAAGCTATCTGGAGAAAGGTAGCATATTTTACATGATGCATGCAGAAGCTTCTTTGAGCATCTTATATTTCAATACATGGCTAGACTTTTAGACGAGATATGTATCTCCATGATTGTTCCACTTGAAAATTCAACCTGATCTGTATACTGCCAATGATTGCATTATACATGCTTGCACCACTATGAGATATCACACTGCCAATCGCATTGATTTGGTGTTTGATTAATTATGATACTCTGATCTTGCTGAATTTCGACGTGTTAGTCAGGAGTGAGCCCAGTTCAGTATATGCTTTTATTTTTTTCAATCCAAGTGATCAAAACCTAAATTTTCTAACTACTTTTTTTGAGTATTATGCATTATCATCAATATTCAAGGACAACTAGTTTGCAGGAGCATTGACTGCTAGAAATTCTTCTTGGAATGCCTTCTAAATAAAACAGCCAATCAACATATCATAAAGACCTATTTTTTGTATCTCCTTTACTTTTCAATTTCTTTCATCTTTTTAGATTTTGTTTATCTCAATAGATGTGTTGGTCAAGATCTGAGTAAGTTATTATGACGTGCAGCTAATATTTAATAACTTATATCACTAAAAATAAAACTGGTATTGGTTGTGTTATAGCCAGCTAGGGTGGCTCTGAGAACAGGTTGCGAGGGTGTATCTGCTATCAACACAATCATGAGTGTTATGGGAATCAATCTCAATACCTTACGTCCCGAGCCTTGTGTCGAGGGGTTAGCATCTCCACATCAAACAGTACGACACATTATAATTGGTTTTATTTGTATCTCTCCACATCTTACTCATTAACTTTGCTGTCAGATACTCAACCCCTGGGGGCTATTCTTCCAAGGCAGTACATCCTATTGCCCTTGGAAAAGTGATGAGCATTGCACAAATGATGAAGTCGGAATTTGAAGGTAAGGACTATACGCTTTCTGCTATTGGAGGTGTTGAGACAGGCGGTGATGCTGCTGAATTCATTCTTCTTGGAGCAGATACAGTTCAGGTTAGTCTAGATTATGATTTTGCTTTAATTCCATTGATGCTTGTGGATATTTGGGCATCAATTTTAGCGAAAAGACCAGCGATTGCAATCCAATCCATAATCCCAAAGGAGTTGTTATGTGCGTATTTCCCAGAAAAAGCCCTAAATCATTGATTATTTGTTGTTTCCCAGGAAATTATATGACTATTGGACTATATGGACTGAAAACAGCTTCAAACCATAAAACCGTGTCAAGCGCAAATCCATCCTACACTTTGACCATGCCCTCTCATTTTGTAAAACCTAACCCTCCATTATTTGGTTGCTTGACAGCCTTAGTCCACTGTTTGACAGCTTTCATTCCCTTGTATGAGGACCTGTCCTGCATCACCATGACAAAGTCAATGAAACTCAATATATGAATCTATTGCAATGTTTAGAGTAATGTTACCTCATATGATACCACCTGGTAGTATGCAACGGATTTGCATTCGAAAATGCTTTCATCTCTCTTTCTTTTATTTTATAGAAAAATTTAAAACATAAAATCTTGGTACTTGTTATTACAGGTCTGCACTGCTGTTATGATGCATGGATATGGTCTTGTAAAGAAACTCTGCTCTGAGCTGAAGGATTTTATGAGAAAGCACAACTTTTCCTCAATTGAAGATTTTCAAGGGTATGACTTCTTGGAGAATTAACTTTTACCTTAGCAGTCATGAATAACCTGAAGCATCAATGGTCTCAAGTACCATAGTCTATTTTTTAATTAAAAAAATGTACAATACAGGGTTTCTCTTCAGTATTTTACAACACACATGGATTTGGTAAGAAGACAACAGGAAGCAATTCGACAAAGGAAAGCCATCAGGCAAGGTTTACAGTCTGACAAAGACTGGACAGGAGATGGTTTTGTAACAGAAACTGAGAGCATGGTTTCTAATTGAATTGTTATTCTGTAACATGCCTCCTACCCTGTACTGTTGAAAATAAATGAGCTTTTGACCTTTCTAGTTGTGGTGAGGGAAAGACTGGTTTTCCTTTGTTGGTTTTTCTTTCTGGTCATATTGTAAATGTGCCTTCTTCCTTGTACCTATGGAAAATAAATGGGCTTTTGACCTTTCCATTGTGTTAGGTAAAAGTCTGTTTCTCATTTGTATATGGTACAAAGCCAAAATGGAAATGTTGAAGGAGTCACTTTGTTAATTTTAAGGCTGGTTTCCATTGCTGGTTTTCCTTACAAGTTATACTGTCATGTGCCTTCTTCCTTGTACTATTGAAAATAATAGGCTTTTGACCTTTCTATTATGTTAAGTGAAAGACTGGTTCTCATTTGAATATGTTCCAGAGGCAAAATTGAATGGTTGAAAGAAACAATTGTGTTAGTTTTTTCCAATGTTGTTTAAAAAGCTAAAAATGGATGAGAATTGTCCAGCATTCTTATTCTTATGCATGATATCTCTTTATGTATAGGATGACTGAATATTAGTTGAGTGGCTGATTCATTGTTCCCTCTTCCAAATGTGTTCTTGCAGAAGTACTTGCCAGGCAAAATTGTATCACACAACTGGTAGTTGTCTTTGCAAAATGCATATAATACTGTTGAAGAAAAATTATGCTCATCATGATAATTCTTTTGGATCATGATAGTAATGGATGGTTGAGATAATCATGTATCTTAAGAGATTGAGATTAAGTTCAATTGGAAAACTCTAGTCCAACTCTTCTGTTCAAGTTTTCAAGTCGGCCAGCTCTGCCAACAGCTTCATCAGCTCGGGCAAAAGCTCCACCAACTTGGTCCAATTCTACTCGCCGGAAGGTGTGTAGAGTTGGATACTGACAAATCAAGAGGCATAAAAGAATTGAAACTGTAACTCTTCAGGTATTAACTAACGTCAAATCTCTCTAAAAAAGAGGTAATATGCTGACTAAATAGGTATGTTGAATTTAACTCTTAAATTATTAGCTTTCTTTGAAATCTTTACGACTTAAGCATCGGAGGGTCAATCACCGGAGATTCACCTCTGGTCTTCAACTTCCTTTTTATGTGATTGAGGTTCATCCAACAGCGGTGCAGGAGCTACCTAAAAAATTGCATCAACAGTTTGGTGCCATCTATGAAAGTGACAACAAATCTATCACTCAACACAATGGCTATCACACTTCGATCTAGGACCGTCGATCAAAGCCCACGATGTACCCGAGAGTTCTCATGATCCTGCTCTGTGGTGAACGACGAACAACCACACAACTGTGTTGATGAGTCAATGCCTCAAGTTGCATTTCTTCAAGTGCAAAACCTTCCTACCCAAGTTCAGTAACTCAAAATTTGTTGACACTTTACATCAACGGCAGCAACATCTGATTCCTCCACCAGCACATCAACCACCTCAAGCGGACCAACATAATGGGGGGCAGGATCATAAATCAAATGGATCCAAACCTCCCAACAGATTATTCTGGCGATGATCAAATAACCTTTTCCTTAAGTAGATTAAACTGGATATAAAGAGAGGTCAGCAACTCCCTACGTTGAATTCCATCTGGCACGATCGATCAATTATTTGTTAGCGATCAAGACTACCGATCTAATCAGGACCGAACTGGGTCCAAGACTACCGATCTAATTAGGACTGATTTGCTCCTAGACTAGGCAGGTGGGATCAAGACTACTGATCAAAGATCATGACAGCAAGCGATCAAAATTATCATCTAAAGTATTTAATTAACATGTAATTAACAAATTAATATTACATTAACACATTCAATTCATCAAATTAATATTAAAATTCAACTTAATTAATATTAAATTCATCTAATTTATATCCAAAATCATTCAATTAACATTCCATTCATTCAATTAACATTCAATAAGAATTCAATTTATCAAATCAACACTAAACTAACATTCAATTTCATCCAATTTATATTAATTAACACCACATTAATATTCAATTTTTTCTAATAAGTATTTAATTTACTAAATTAACATTAAAATTCAACTAGTTAACATTAAATTAATCAAATAAACTTTCAATTTTATTCAATTAACACTCAATTCATTGAATTAACATTTCAAATCAAACAATAAAGATTCAATTTATCAAATTAACACCAAAGTAACATACAATTCCATCTAATTAATATTCAATTCATCAATTTAATACCAAATTAACATTCAATTTTCATCCAATTAACATTCAATTTTATCTAATAAACATTTAGTTCATTAAATTAACAATTAAATTCAACAAGTTAACAATAAATTACTCAAATTAACATCAAAATACAGACAACCCTCTAAAAATATAACAAAATACAAAGCAACATGGCATAAATAAAGTTACCATCAAAACTACATTTGCTCACATGGTAATTCATTACTGTTCTACAATCCTCAACGGACCAAAAATTCAGGCAGGTGAAGCAGCCATTGCCTCTTTCTCTTCAGGTGAAAAAGGAATTGGCTTCGTTGGAGCAGGCAAACGCCCTTGCTATCAACTTTATCTTTTTGCTTTGGTGGGGGTCTTGCTGCTCTTGCGAGTAACCTGCCCTTCTTCTCGAACCACTCAGGTTTGAGCAGCGCCCGAAAGCCTAATTTGTTGTGATACCCCCTCCTCACAGACCTACCTGCAGCTTCAACTACTGCCTTGGCTCTAACCGTTACTCTTGAAACCTGAAACCTCTAAACTGTTGTGTGTTGATGAAAGAATATTATGTCGCACTTCAAATTTCATAAAAGTGTGATTAAAACAAATACTTTGTTTATTTAAAAAATACATGTCGGTATGTTGTAAAAACATCTAAGAAAGTATCTCTTTAGTTTAAATAAATTATTTTTTTTTCAAAAATTCGGCAAAATTTTCGTTGAAAATTAGGCTTTTAACCGGCTAGTAAAAACATCCCTGTGAGAGCATAACATAATTTAAACTAATTAAACATCCACAACATGTCTCTATCAAAAATATAATCTAACTAAATCCGAGGTGACAATTAGAGGCCCACGAAGTCCTCCTAAACCCGGATACATCCAATACAAATATATACCATAACTTAATACACAAAGTCATAATTTTATATTACAAGACCCCCCACGAAGTCCTCCCAAACCCGGATATATCCAATACCAATATATACCACAACTTAGTACACAAAATCATAACTATGTATTACAATATCCAAAATAATAATCCCTCTATCACGACGATCTAGTGTACACCACAAATGTCTCAAGACAACCTTTTCCAACACAATGTTTGAGTTATAACATTTCTACATAAGTTTTAAAGGTAAATACAAAAAAAATTCAAAAGAGATTCTTTATAGTCCAAGCTCCCACAAACATTCTATCACCTATGCCCTAGGATGCATGTTAGTCTCTGAACATATTAATAAGGGATGAGCAACCACAACTTAATAGGATAATCCTTTTCTTAAGCATTTACAAAGTTTAAATACCAACATTCCATAAACTATACGAATAAGTAATAAAAACTTTCTATAATTAAGTATAGGTACAAGATAATAAGTAAAACATTTATAAAAATCTCCCAACACCTCAACATTAAAAAAATACAAGGTATAAACTAAAGGTTTATATATTTAAACCATCATAGTAAATATCATGCATGCTTCGCATACGGACAATACAATCAATCACACCGGTTCACCCATGAACCAACCCCGAAAAACCTTTTGGGTCTTGCACCCTAGGGTCTCATTGTCCTTCTTAATTTTTAAGGGGAACGGGTAAGGCACAACTTATGACGCCACATAGGCCATCATCGAAAACCACTACCAAACCAATCCCCTTTAGGATTAGTAGCCACCTTGGCAACCCATTTCATGGGCCCTAATCGTCTACTAACCCTCTACTTGTCAGTATCGAGCATAGATTTTCCAAAATCATTAATTTCAATATCCATAAATCATTTTGAAACACATATCATAACCTTGATATTTTATCAAACATGTAGTATGCTCAAATCTTAAAATTTACATTTTCAAAGTAACATAACAATTTCTAAGAGAATAAGTCATTTATATTATGTACAACATCATAGCACATTTCAAAACTCCCAAATCATAAGTTTAATCAAATACCCATAACTAAAATCAAACTAGGGTTTCAAACCCATCACACTAAAATTATTTTTATGCATGTAAGTTCACAATCCATGACATACTCAACACTAAATCAAAGTTTATAACAAATATTTTGCCATCAAACACATAGTAAACTTTAGCTAAAGAAAATACATAAGATGCACAATGTAAATGTAAGAGAGAGAAAAACCCCACCTAAGAATCAACAATTTCAAGCTTAATCTCTAAGATTCTCAAGCCAAGCTCGAGCCCTACAACTCTTTTTCTCTCTTCTTCTCTCTTGCTCTTTGTAGTTCTAAAGTGGGTGGAGAAGTTTTGGGTGAGAGGTGAGAAAAAAGAGAAAAATAGGTTGGTTTTGGGGTTTTAAAACCAGCAATTCCCGTCACAAAACACTGTTCATGCCAAAAAATGCATTTTGTCCAACATTACAATTTTGCCCTTAAACATCTCCAATTTGATACCTATGACTATCTTAAGATTTTTTGCCGTTTCGGATTTATTTTTAATGTTATTTTAATCTAAAAACATTTAGTTTTATGATTTATCTCAAAATCAGAATCAATTTACACCCGAAACACCAAAATTACTATTTTACTCCTCTGAATCCCTGTATGAGGTAAATATCTATCCCAATGTTTCTTGACCTCCAAGATTCAATAGTAATGTTATTTTGATCTAAAAAAAATTAATAATTTTACTTAGTTACCCTTATTCCTTAAACACCTCAAAAAAGAAGATATGCATTCACTCCATGTCAAGCTATGGAAGCAGAGATGCATGCACTCCATGACAATCATACTTGGGGACTTGTTTCGTTGGAAACAAAACAAGTTGGGAAACAGGTATTCTAGGTGGTCAACCAATTGATGTTCTTATGGATCCAAACCATAAACTCTTAGTGGATGAAGGTTAATGTTTCCTCGGATCCTAGACAATATCGTCAATTAGTTGGGAAGTTAAATTATCTCACTATTACTCGACCAAATATATCTTGTGTAGTGAGTGTAATAACTCAATTGATAGAAGTTCATCAAGTACCATATTGGGATGTTATTATTCGTATTATTAGATATTTTAAGCAAGCTCTCGGATTTAAATTGTTGTATAAACCTTATGGGCATCTTAGATTGGAAGGGTTCAAAAATGCTAATTAGGCAAGTTCTCTCTCATAAGCAAACAGTGGTGGCACGCTCTAGTGCAAAAGTTGGATAAAGAGCAATGGCTCATACTTGTAGTGAGTTA